TCAAGAGATGGGGGAGGAAAGGGAATAAAAAAAGGAAATAAGATGCGTTATGGACATGTACCAACTCCTCACAAGGAATGTAAAAGCTATGCACTGCAAATATGTACTAATAAAAATTAAAAAAAAACTCGTATGATGATGTGTCTCAGATTGGTCATTATTACCCATTTTTCTGGGCTTTCCTTGCATTTTCTCCCTAGTTTGGAAATGCCTTTCCACTACCTGCCACTACATGCTGGGAAACTCCTTATCCCTTCTTTCGCCCTCTTCATCTTGTTGAACTTTCGGAGCGATTTCCTTTATCTTCCAACTCTTCTATTAGAACCTTTATCTTGGCTATCAGATTTTGAAGCACTCCCATGAGTCTCTCTATCCAGCAGTCTCCTCCAATTTTCTGAGTCAAGTAACATCTCTCTGACAGTATTAATAATAGGTTGTTTCCTCGCCAAGCTTTTATTCTCTATATTACTTGTGTGAGCTTTTTCTTTTTAAAAACCGTCCTGAAAAGAACATGACATTTTTAAAAGAAAAAAAGGGACTGAGCCCCCTGCATGTCCTGGAAAATGGAACACAATTTCTGTTCCTGTCAGTTGCGGTAGGGCCAGGCCTTGATAAAGCCTCGGGTGTGGGCGGCGTCCTCGTCCTTTTCCTCCAGTGTCTTTCTCTTGGGAGCTCCTCCTGGTTGAGTTTGTTCTATATCCTGTCTCTGGGCTGTGCCTGGAACCTCTCCTGGGGCCACGATCCATCGATGCTCACTCTGTGTTTCCTTTCCTTGGGGATTACCTCTACCACACTGCCTGTTGTCGCATATTGAAAACAGTTTTTTTCATACATATTTTTTCTTTTTTAAAGTTATTGGAGGTTGGGTGGTAAAATTGGTCCAACACCACTCCACCATGACTGATACTGTTCATTTGGAATGTGGGTTAGAATTGATGGGGAAAATTTGACCCTCACATTATTGCATATTTCTTTTTAGGAGCGTGGGATATTGATTTATTTAGGTCTTTTAAATCTTCCTGCAGGTTTGTCTTACACATTCATACTGACGTTGCATTTAAAGGCTCTGATGTAGGCTCTTTCACTCTCTCTGAAGCATCTCACTCCTGCCCTGCAGCAATCCAGGCAGAGAATCCTAAGGCCTCTACTGCTTAGAGAAGCTGCTAGGCCTACTCTCTTTCTTCCCCCTCTCTGGATGAGAACAGGGCCGGTTCCAGCCAACTCACAACTGAGCAGCCTGGAGCAGTGCTGGGCGGGGCAGAGGGGTGTGGAGGAGGCAACAGTTGAAGTATTCCTCATGCAACCCCAAGGCAGACAGCTACTTAAAGCTGCCGCTTCTTGGCTCGGTTTACTAAGTGATTTTTTCCTACTTTTGGTAGAGCTGGGCATGGAGGGCCCGTGCGAAGTAAAACCTGATGATTGAGCTACTGGTGCCCAAGGAATGTAGCGTCTTTTTATCAGGCAGTGGGGTCCCTCTACCTGCTGTTTATGCCATGGAACACTTCTTTGGCAGATGGTTACTAATACACCAGAAAAAAATCATCTCTAATAATACCTCTGGGTAAACAGGCGCTTGTGGGCTACTTAAGGAAGTTTGGGGCTGTGCACTCTAAATGTCATATGACCAATTTAGAAGCAAACTTGGAACACGATTCCTTCCTAAGTTGGAAACTGTCTGGTCATATGAAATCCACCTCTTGCAGTAACTGTCAGCGATAGTGAAGAGACCTCCTGGACTGCAATTGACACCAATGGGTAGGCACCTACCCTAGGTAATGAGCTGGTTCACTACAGCTGTGCTTTGCTCATGGGCTTCCATTAGTCGCTTGATAGTGTATAACTTCCTCACCTGCAACAGCTTCCAGCAGCTGAGCAGGGGCTTTTCAGAGATCAGGCGCCTCCATTTACTCAAAATGCAGGTCTTTAAAATCAAAGGGCTAGTGGCTTTATCTGTCTTATTTTTATTAAACCTCTGTGTGGGGATCATCCAAGAAATGATGAAGCAAATGAAACAGTGACAAGGAGGAGATTTTTAAAGTTTTTTTTTCTTTTTATTGAGTTTATTGGTACAATCTAGGTATACAATACAGTTACATTCATTACCGGGATCCTGTACCTTTACTTGACGGGTCTTGATTCTCATTTTTTCCCTTGTCCCTGCCCTCCCTTCACCCCCTCCTTCCCTCCCCATTTACAAACACTTTATTTCCATTTTTTCAATTTCTCATATTTTTTTCTTCTCCCTTATTACCTTTCTCCCACCCTTCCCACTTTCCCTACTCCTTGAGCCCTTTACTTACTATTTCACATTATTATTTATCTCGTTAGGATCCTGTGTACTATTATAGTTTTTCACACCAGAGAAACTATTCAGTATTTCAGTTAAAGAGATCTCTGTATGAACCTTAAAAATAGGGAATCCTAAAGTAAAACTAAAAAGGAAAGTAAAAGAGAAAAGGCAATGATGTAAGATTAAAATAATCCTTAATTCTGAAGATGAAAATGGTCCCCTTAACATATTTAAATTGGTTCTTGCTCTTGTAGTCTTATCTTGGTTTTTTTTTTCCATTATTCAGAGAACACTTTTTTAGTTTCTGTAATCAAACCCACGTAGATATGACCTTACATATTTAATACAGTGTGTTGCCCCTGTACAAATGGAAAAAAAATAAAATAAAAAAATAAAAAATAAAGTATTTTAATGTATCAGCCTCTGTCCCTTTATTGAGCCACACTGTCCTGTACTGTATATAACATGCTCTTCTCTAGAGTGAGTGCATTTGGATTTTTTGAAATGGTGATTTCAGCGCCTCATTTGAAATTCCGTCACGGACAGCTTTGTTGTCAAAATAACCAATTCTCATAGACTGCAACCTGGAGAACCACCCACTCCTAGTACAGCGCATACCAGTTGGGGGCCGACGGAACTGACCCTGGCGGGTCTGTATTGCGCAGGCTGGGCTGTGGACCTACAGGTTACAGCCCTGACGCACGTTCGTGCCAGGAGCAGAACCACCTCGGAGCGAGCCAGTCCGAAGCCCCGGGTGGGGCTGTGGGCATCGCTGGGTTATTGTGCAGCCAGTGTTGAGAGCACTGGATACAGCCTGGTTGCGCCACTGTGCCAGTGCTTAACAAAGCATTCACGCAGAGTAGATTTTAGTTCATAATACGAAGTAGTAGCTTACCCTTTCGTAGAGGGAAGTTGCCTGTGCCTCTAGCTTTTCCTTTAGATGGTGACCTCATGCATGTGTGTGCACGCGACACCCAGTGCTGACTTTCTCGCTCCACCCCTAGTTCAGACGTCTACCGTCTCTCTGGTCTCGTGGCCCCTCCAGCCCTCCACAAGCACTATTCTCATTATTTCTCTCACACTCAAAAACACTTCATTTAAAACTCCTGCCATCTAGAAAAAACTTCATTGTCCTCAGCTGGGCAGCTAAGACCTTTGGGGACAAGACTGGAGAGAGTCCTTCAGGCAAGTTGGTATTGTTACGTTTTTTCTAAGCCTTTGCCTGGATCACCTGTTATGTCACCCCATCCTACTGGAAGTCCCCAGTCAGCCCTCAGTTTTCCCAACCGAAGCTCCTCCCATCTTTCCGCCTCTGCCAATGCAATGACCTGGTAACTCTTCCATGTCCGGGAGACACTTAAAAAAAAAAAAAAATCACTAGATTAGCAAATAAGTTTCACTGTCAACTACCAAAATGGTGAGGCTCTCTTCTCTATTAGGTTCTGAGCTTTCTCTAAGGATGTCAGGTAACATGGCACATTGAAAAAGCTTTAAGATACAATCTGGGCTTAAAACTTCATTCCATCACTTGCTAGTTGTGGGATCTTGGGCAAGTACAACTGTTCCTCAGCTGTGCAATGAGGATGACAATGCTTGAAGGCATTGTGTGGACTCAGTGTGTATAGGGTCAGGCACACAATAGGTGAGCAAATCACCCTTTCCACTGACCCTAACACTACCGGTATTCTTAAAAAACTCACGAGTAACACCCCAACAGGATGCCTTGGTTATAAATTTCCAAATGGCCAAATACTTTGTTTCATATAAATGTTTACCTATTATTTAATTCTTCAAACAGCCTTTGGATTACTATTCCCATTTTACAGCCATGAAAACTGGAACAAAGTGAAGGGAATGGACTCCCCTTTGGGAAAAGAGCTGGGGCTATTGAGAAATCTGCCACCATTTAAAAAAAAATAAAATCAATATTCCAAATGACAACTTTTTGAAAGGTCTGAGTTAAAGTAGTTTATCAAATCTATGATGAAACGTTAAGATTCCTGTCAGCCCCACGCTGGAATAAACAGTGGCTGAGTACTGTGACTTCTTGGACCTTGGATCCTTCGTCTCTAACCAGATAGTAAGGACAGTGGCTGCCTTACAGATGCTGAGGATGAACCGCACCAACACAGCCCATTCTAAAGCTCCGGAAAAGGGCATGAACAGCACGCTGTGTGTCAGCTGTCATGCTCACCACGAGGGACACTTTGCTTGGAATTTTATCACATGGGACCTTTGGGTTGACCTTTAATGCGCTCCACCCTACCACAGAGAATAGAAACTAGGTTCCCGGCATCCTTCTCACTTCAGAATCCTAGTAATGAAAGACACCTTAAAGGCAAAAAACAAGTAACTTTATTGACTGCTAATCTTAACCATGAAATGCTGATAAGAAATAATTACAAAACAATGCGGGTTTGTTTTTACATAAGTTTGGTATCATGCCAATATGATCCTTTCACAGAAAGGATTATTTACAGTTTATGCAGATATAAAGCTCATTCTTGCAAATACAAATGTAAATGATGTAGAGACGATATATACCAAATTGGTATACTAACAAAGGATATGTAACAAATGCAGAATAAATAACAGCTTTATACTTTTATTTTCCTTTTTTAAAACCATCTCCAAATACAAAAATGTAATTATTCAAAGTGGATTTTAATACACACACACACACACACACACACACACACACACAAATTCTGTTGCAAACAGTAGGCCAAAAAGAAAAGCTAAGTTTCCTGGCATGTTTCATTTTTGAAAACCCACAAGACTATTCATAAATCCAATTAGAAAGAGGGTGTGCAAAACCACCAAAGCTGGCAAAATCCTGAAGACATGATTTTGGCTGAAGTAGAGAAAAAGTACAAAGCACTACCTGTTCATTTAAACACTTTTTATGTTTTGCAAGAAATATTAAGGGCTAAGAAAATACACGGCATCATGATCTGGGCTATTTAAGAGAACCAGCACACCAGGATTGTCTCTTAAAGCATCAGGCAGTGATGGCGAACCTTTCAGAGCTTTCAATGACACAAACAGCCCACTGCGGCACGCAAGCCACAGGTGCACCAGCACTGATCTGTAAGAAGCAGTGGATTATTTAATGACTGAGAAGGAAGTCATTAAATCATCCCTTCATATTTTTATCCTTCTCTACAGAGATACTTTTGTACATTCTGATATCTGAAACTTTGGTTTTTTTTCTTAAAAAAGCATTTACTAAAAGCAAAGTAATTTTATGGATGCAGAACTATGCAGAATTTTTTTCTTTTAAAGCATCAGGTGAGACTCCCCGGATGCTGCCCCCCACCCTGCACAGGTGGGTGGGGTCACCGCTGCCTCTGTTCGGAACCCAACTCCCACCTGCGGGTGACACTGTGACACTGCCTTCGTCCTGCTCTACCCTACATCTATTTCTTGGTACCTGAAAACATACTTTTGTACAAAAATATGAGTGTTTCTTTAGAAAATAACACATAGCTTTTAATAAAGTTGGCAGATAGCAAAAATGGTGTATCAAAATATGGTAAACAAATGCTGTAAAATACGAAATCATTAAAAACACCCCGTAGAAAGACATTGTGCTATGAAGTTCTGTCGTGAAGTGCGAGCAGTGTTTTCACTGTATGTCGAAAGGCTAATGAGTTCATTCCCTTGACTTGGTTTCATTATACACCGTAACAGCAGCACAGCAGTTACAATCTTAAAAATGGCCCTTTCTCATACACATCTTCTGTATACTTTTACTTCAAAATTAACAAAAAGAGACCCTGCAGATCAGTGGTTTTCAACCCTGTTGCGTATTAGCTCCGTGTAGAAAACTTTAAAAAGAAAAGGCAATCCCACCTGGGTCCTTCCCAAAAGAGACTGACTTAACTGGTCTGGGGTGGGACCCCGGCATTGCTATTTTTTAAAAGCTCCTCAAAGAATTCCACTGTGCACGCAGACTGAGAATCATGGCCAAAGGCACGTGAGGAGAAAGTCACTCCTAACATATACTACAGACAAGGATTACCGAGGCAGCATTCATCCAGTGACGTCTCCTCCATACTGAACAAGGAGTTCCCTGTATGCAACACAGTCATGGAAGCCAAAATAAAGTCAGTAAGCTTTAAACACATACAAACACACACAATTCCATGTATTTATATATGTATAACATACAGAGTTGGGGTATTTTGGTTAGGCAGAAACTAGCATTACCTTAACTTGTTCTTGTTAATTAAAAAACAAAAACTAAAACCCACACATTTTTCTGAGAGATTTCCACCGTTTGAACAGACACTGGTTTGTAAACTCTACACAATGAATTACGTCATGAGCATAACTGATCTGTCACAAAGATGAGGAACTCAACTGAACCCAAGAGCTTTCTGGAAAAGGATGTGAAGGGGTCACAAGACATCACAACACATACAGTCTTCTGGGTACTGCTTAAGTTGCATCATCTTGTCTCCGAGCGCGTGCTCCTTCTGTACATATCTTTGGCTTGCTACAAAGAATGAGTTTGATCGATTTGCTAGTGTTCACTTTGGGAGAGCCTCGGGAGGCAGCAGTGGCTACGCACCAAGCAACCGTCTCTCCATTCAAAGAAGAGAGACCCTTCCCTTTGTCTTCTTTCAAACCAAGAGTATTTCAGGAGGGAGGGGTTAAAAAAAGCACAACAAACAGATAAGCCTAACATCTTTCACATGATAAAAAGATGTTATGTTTAACTGAAGTAAGAGACAACAAATGAGGAACAAATACCACACTCCACCAGTACAAAGGCTTCAAACCAATAAAGCACATTTTCTTCTGAAGAGTCATTGCATGGGCACTTGTCTTGCTGTACATTCTCTAGTTTTTACCTTTGCATAATACTTAAAGTGCAATTGTCCCAAGGCTTTTGTTTCCATCACAAATATTATAAAGAAAGAGCTATGTTTGGGGTAAAGACAATATGGCACAAGTAATACATAAAGAACCCAAGCCTCCTGCAGCCTCTGGCAAACAGCAGGTTATCCTTGAGGCTGCACACAGATGGACTTTATACAACAAACTCCGGAACCTCATCACGTGTGAGGTCCAGAGAAAAGTATTTGCTGGTTCTTTTGACTGGAAAAGCATCCTGGATGTTGATGCACTGCTGTGCCAGGCAACTGTTGCAGTACAGCCCTTCTGCATCCAGTTCGTGGCCACATCCAAAGGTGTAACTTTGTGCAGTGTCCTGACACAGGCCTGCAATGCGCAAGAAGTCTTTCTGGTAAAGTCTGATGTCATCAAGACTCAAGCTATGTCGATCGGTGGAAGTCTTTGGTTTTCGACATATAGTCTGCAAAACAAGGGAAGGTTGAGACAACTTCGAAAGTACAGATTGAGTGATGGTTAGCCTATCTGTCCTGAGGAGAAAAACTACAGAACCATACATGGTGAAGTCATCCTTGTATGTTAGAAAGTGGTTTGTGGGCTGCTGAGAGCTGGTGGTAAATAGGCCCCCACCCATCACTGAAAGCAAGGGCAGCTCACATCTCCTGAGCACTTACTACCATGGCAGGCCCAACCCTTTGGTGTACACTAACCCACCAAGTGTGGCAAACCTATGCATGTGTGTTTTTTAAATTTTTTGGTACTGGGGATCAAACTTGGGTCCTTGCGCTTGCGAAGCAGTTGCTGAAACCACTGAGCTAAATCCCCAGCCCCTGTGTTGTTTTTTCTTTTAAGACAGAAAGATGCTAATGTATAAGTTGGTTTTTTTCTAAAGTAAAGCCTCAGTATTTAGGTTTAATTGCACTGTGATATTGGCACTTTGTGATAACTAAGTGGGTTCTGGGTTGTGGTTTGGATGCTTGTGCATGACATCAGTGTGCTGACCTATTCAATCTTCCAAACAGCCCTGTGAGGCTGGTGCTCATACGTTCCTCAGTTTACAGACAGACAACACATGCCAAAGAGATACAAATTCAGTGGGAATCCAAGTATCCCTTGCATTTCAGAGACTGACAAATAATCTTAAAATAAGTCCATAAAGGTAAAGATAGTATTTATTTTTTCACCAGGATATGGTAATTCAATGCATCAACACTTTTAAGCTGAAGGTCAAATAAAAAATGGAAAACCAAACCAGTTACCCTTCAAAAAGCACAGCTTGAAAGATTTTAGAGCCGTGACTCTCGGGGAGAGCACAAAGGCTAGTGCCAGGAGTAGGGGCAGCCCCTGGACATGCAGAGAGGCACATTCTCCACACAACAGGCACCCGACTTCTGAAACTCAGTACCACCAGAGGTGGGACACGGAAATAGGTTCAAAACTATTCTGACCATACATGAGTTCCATATTTAGGGAACCTAAAGATTTTTATCTCCAACTTGTGTTGCTCAGCACTACAACAGCCTTGTTACAATAAAGGATCACTTGTGCCAGAGATGAAAGTTGCAGGATTTTTTAAAAAAAATTTTTTTTAAATTGAATTTATTGGTACCTTCTAGGTACACAGTACAGTTACGTTCATTACTGGGATCTTGTACCTCTCCACGACAGGTCTTGGTTCTCATTTTTTCCCCTTGTCCCCACCCTCCCTTCTCCCCCTTCTCCCCTTCCCACCTACAGACAAACACTTTAATTCCATTTTTCCATTTTCTCACATTTTTTTTCCTTTCCCTTATTCCCCTTCCCCTACTCTTCTCTCTGTCCCTACACCTTTAGCCCTTTTCTTCCTATTTCATGTTGCTAATTATCCCATTAGGATCTTGAGTACTATTTTAGTTTGGATAGAAAGTGTCCCATCTGAGTGACACTTGCATAGGATCACCCTTTTGAATCCATGCAGTCTTCCCAGCCCCAAGGAGACTTCACACACAGGACTGTGAGGTCACCCCAGGGCCTCAGGATGTGCACACAGACACCCATGCTGCTGTACGTGTGGAACCTCTCAGCCGAGCCCATGGCAGAATTAATGGAGGGTGGCAGAGCTGGGGTGCAGCCCAGGGATCTCCCTCTGGAGCTTGGACTCCAATTGGTCATGTGATACACACTTTTTCAAAGAGTACTTAGGATTTTCAGAAAAATACTTAATGTCATTTTTATTACAACGACTTCAGTGGAAGGAAAAGAAAGAAAAAATTACAGAAGAGGGAAGCAAGGATAAAAAGTAGAAGACAAAGAGTCATCATGCCAGAGAAAGAAAAATAGCAGCACAGAGAGAGCCCAAGAAAGAGAAGCACAGGAGGGAGGGAGGATTGGAAAACAGCACCAGTGTTCTCTACAGATAAAATCAGAATGCTGAACCTATGAGTTTCACAATATTTCATCTATAGCCTTTGTTACTTTAACAGTTTAACCAGTGATCACAGGCTGTCAAATGCTCTAGCTCAGCACACTTTGAAAATCGGATCTGAACGGAATAACCCGAGTGTGGAAACATTTCTGCCATCACAAACTTATCAAGAACATTACTCCTCTGGCTGTAGAGGCCATTTCCTCCCCCAAATGCACATGCCTGCCGTGCTTGTACATGCACACGTACGCAGTGAATCTAAAGGTGAACACCAGAGACTTCTAACTATACGAAATGTGAGCAAAGTATATAGTCTACCCAAATAAAAACCAAAGTGGAACTAGCAAACAGAAATTCAGAAAACATGAATGTATGTATCTGAAAACAATCACCTCCTTGGGTAAATTTTTTGCTCATTTGTGTAAATATAAATGTAAGTTCCCATTTATAATTTCCTAAAATTCTAGTTGTTATGTAAAATCTTCTGTTCCTTCAGTACCTGTGGAAGGGAATCAGTACTCTGGCCACGGAGTTTGACCACTGTTTCTGAAGAGCTGGAGGTGGAAGAACCGATTTCTTTCACAATCAACCCTGTGTAGAACAGAGAAGAAAACAATGAACATTTCAAACCTTTCACCATGCACCCTGAAATCCACCACTCCCAGGACTTGCAAACCAAAAGTAACCACTCCTAAGGGGCTGCTGTGCCCTTTCAATGGCTGACAACCAGCACGGCACCCTTCATTGGGCAGGAATTTCAGGGTCCTGAGAGAATGTGGGGCTGGAGTGGAGGGAGTTTAGTTTGCACTTTCTAAAATAAAAATTTCAAGTAAGCTATTCATGATGAAGTTAGAAATGACTGGAGCTATAAAGCCACCTTCTTATCATATTTCATGAAGTCTCCTTCCCCTCCTGCCATGTATCCTCAAGCTGTCCTGTAGGACAGCGACGCAGCCTTAGAGTATAGGTGTGGTGCTCTGGAGTCACACAGGTCTGGGCTGGAACCTGGCCCAGGTAATTAATTAGCCTTCCTGTGTCTCCGTCCCCTCCTCTCATAAAATGGGGCTGATGACAGCACCTAACTCCTAGTATTTTAATGACGATTACAATGTGAATGCATGAAGATGAGCAGGAGCTCCTCTTGGCAAACAGAGCCACTGGGGTGCACACCTCCTGCAGCAGATCCCACAGGAAGAGACCCAAAGGGGAGGCCACAGTGAGACGTCAGTGCTGAGTCCATGACATCGATGCAGCCCTTGGTACCCAGGGAAAAATCCACTCAATTTTCAGAAGCAGAAATCCAGGGCTGACATTTCCCTTTATGACTGTGACATGTGAGTGAAATTCTTCAAGAAAAGCTGTTTCAGAAGCTAAAATTACCAACTAGAACTGGAGATGAAAGTGAACACTGCTGAAATTTGTCTTGCCCATAAATGAATCAGGTGAGTAGGTCACACCCTAGATCCACAAGCCAAATGGGTTCTCAGGAAAAGCACATCCTCACCTTTCAAAGAAAGAACCTGGGTAAGGTGATTTTTATTCAACTGCTGTTAGTGGCCTAGAGAAATGACCTTTTCTGTCCTCTCCTGTAAGGCTCCAGCCACGTCTCATAGTGATTCAGAGTCTAGCCTATGCCTCGTACACACAGAGGGGTCAATCAGTCCAACTGGAATGTGGATGTAAAAGCATTCCTGGCTCATGCAGACCATCCAACATCTTCCCAGGTGATGCACACATTTGGGGTTGGTGCACTGGCTTTTGTAGAGGGCTAATTGAGAAAAACCCATCTTCTGAAGAGCCTTAAACCTCTGAACAAACTTCAGGGAAACACATGGACTTGTGCACTGGCTGGTGCAGGGGTGGCTCCTTGGAGGCTTCCTGTCACATCTGTAAAGACTTCTCCACAGCCCACACCCTCCACTGCAAAGTCAGAATGAAGCTGGTGCTCAAAGCCCAGAACCACCCAGCTCTTGACCCTCAGTGAGGAAAGAGCAAGTGCCCACTCAACCTCAGCTCAGAGCCTGAAAACAAAGTGAACTTGGAAAGCCAGGATGGCAAAGGGAAAATAATACAATCATGTGGAAGTCCGTCTTCAGAGAAAAGGCTACTCATCATTGTATGTATCTTCTCTTTTTCATATAAGCATTTTTATTTTTAATTAGATCATGCTTTTATATAATTCGTACTGTTTTCCTTATGTATCTTTCATGTTGCTAATTATTCTTAGAAGATTGCATGTTAACGGCTACATGACACTCCTCTGTACGGACAGGGTATAATCTAACCTTTCATAAGTAACATTTCAATATATTTTATGTATATATATTTTAAAGTCAACCTTAATCCTATTTATAAAATTGATAATCTCACAAAAATTGAGTGCAGAAATATACAAAATATAAGTTGCTGCCCTCAGACCCCCTTCCACAGGTGTTTAGGCAGACACCGTGGAAGACCACTGCTTTAGGTCCTGGGAGAGTTCTCGAGGCACTGCAGACCCGTTTTCATTCCATAAGCACATGTAGAGCTACCTGTGCATTATCATGTGTGTTTGACTGTGCATTTATATTTAATATGCACTGAAATGTATCTGTAAAGAGAAACTTCAATGCAATAAAGCACACAGGCCAAACAGGCAATGCCTCGCATATCAACACCAAGCATGTCTGATCACCCAGCCTGGTAAGTTGGTACTGGTGAGGGACTGGGATAGTGACAGTGACTCTGTGATCCAGGGCAGGTCTGCTCCTGCAGTTCAGGGTACTGGTGTTCACGCACAAGGAGGACTGAATGCGTCAGTCTTGTCACCTCTGATTCTCAGGCAGGACCCGCATTCAGCAGAGGCTCAATGAGCATCAGGGCCATGGGTCTGACAGGGCCAGGCCAGGCCACTCCGGTGGTCACAGGCCTTTCACCCAATCAAGCTGAAAGTGGCAGGATAATCGACACCCAAGCTACTTCAATAGTCCTTCTCTAGACCAGACTAACTCATGAGATGTGACAGACGCAGACAGAAGTGACTGAGGTTATAAACAAAACCCACACTGCCTCGCTAAGACACTGTCTTTCACATGGTAGAAACACGACTACACCCTACAATAGGGTGACAGTGAATGCATGTTTTATACAAGAATTCATAAAAATACAGAATTAAAGTGTGTCTTTTTAGGTCAACTGTGCTTGACACTTTTTCCTCCTGACTCCTATAAATATTAGGATAATATCCCAGGGAAAACAAAAGCAACCAAGGTCCGGCTTTGCTCCTAGGCAGGTAGCCCTTCTCTCTCTAATCACATGTTTTCGCATCTGTAAAGGGTAAAGGCAGACCTAAGGCCCCTTTCAGAGGCATCATGATTCTCCAGTTTTCTGATTTTAAAAGAGCAAGAGTAAAACCCTACCGTTCACAACTACCTTTTGTCCAAAGCACGTAGAAGACGCCACCTCCCCTTCATGGTGGCCCTTTCTTCTGTGGAGGGCACTCAGCCTGCAGCTCAGGGTGGTGACCTGGAGTGGCCCTCCTCCCAGGCTGCCTCTGATCTAGAGCCACACCTACCCCTTCTATTTTCTGAGCCCCCTGCTTCTTGGTCCAGGATAAGCCACTACTCAGGGAACGTGTCCCAACAGTGCTCACCAGAGTGCCCATTCAACTTCCTGGACAGGAGCATGTCCTCTGTGATATAGATGCACATATCTGGGCTGACTTCCAGAGAGTCTTCATTCATCGGCTCCAGGTCCCTGGGGTCATCCACTAACATCTCAATCTCTGATCAAGAAGAAAAAAAGAGTTAAGGACATGAAGGGAAATGACAACCATAACCCACAGACACACCTGGAGGATGGATATATAATTATTCATATTGGAAAATAAATCTGCTAATGAGACTAACAGGTGACTCTAGGGACAGATCTTAGCCAGGGGCTACTTGTTCTCTTTTCATAGTACTGATGTTACCCACATAGCATCTAATACTATGATCTGATTATCAATTTTTTTTTCTTGAGAGAAGAAAAGCTGTATAACTCCTTGGCAATGACCAAGGACAAACAGAAGCTGATGGGCCATTTACCTATGGCCAAATCAAGGACTACTGACACTGGCAGGATGAGGAGGTCCCAAGGCTCCCGTTTCCCAGGTTGCTACTCTATGGCGCCTGACAGCTTGCTTTGGTAGCCACATGAATTCTATGGGAACCAAGCATGTTCTGCAGTTTTTGTCAAATCTGAATGCTGGAGATTTATCAGGGATAGAGAAAAGCATAAGAGGGACGCATGGTGCTCAGCATGGCTGATCCAGGCCATGGAACTTGTCCTATCTCCATGAGAGAGGGCCAGTTCCTGGGAGCCAGTGCCGGCTATAGTCCTAGTTGTGTGGGAAGTACCTAAGAAACACCTTACTAATTCACTGAACACTGTGGATATGAATCTCTTTTAGAGGAAGAGGCAGAAGTTTAAACTTAAGCTTAAGCTTTTTGTCACTACTGCTGCACTCCACTCTTGTCACGGCTGCTGCCTTATTTAACCTGGAGTGGGAAGTGCAGGGAGGAAGGCTGAAGGAGTAACCTCCCCACTCATTCACACGAATGGCCAAGGGATGGCTGCTGAGGCTCCCCACAGCGACGCCCTGCTCACAGCCAAGTGCCAGCCAGTCCCCCAAGCCGTGGGGAGACAGCAAGGCCCCTCTTCTCTATGACCAGTACTCAGCTGCTCCCTAGATACCAACTCTACAGAGCCAGGACTTGATGAAACCACGGAGAAAGAAGGGAGCTAGCGAGGGAACAGTCCTGCTACCATCGTCCTGCGAGTCCTCCTCCAGCCGGTCTTTGCCACCGCTCTCCACCCCCGAGGTGTGGGAGCTGCCGTGGCTGGTCATTGAGCTGCAGGTCTTCAGCTTGCGATGGATGGCGCTGCCGGAGTAGCTATCCTCTGGCCCCGGGTCCCGGGGCTTGGTGTCCGCCTCAATGCCTGAGGTGTGGGAGCTGCTGTGGCTGGCGGTAGAGTGCCGGGACAGGCGCTTGTGCTTCACGCTGCCTGCGCTGCTCCCACTGGCTCGGGACCGCTTCTCTAGCTGGTCCATGTCGAGGTCCAGGTTGTCACTGATGTACGATTCCCGGTACTGCTTCTTCTCTGTGTGGTGAGAGCACAGCGCATCATCACACTGCACCGAGACAGAGGGACCTTGGGCTGGCTCAAGTGAGTCATCAGGCCAGCACCAAGGACAGTTTCACTCTGCACCTTGGGTCCAGACAGTGGGTGACTCAGAGATGACGACAACAAAATGCATGAAAACCAGTACAGTGCATCTGAGGGGAGGATTCAAACCACTCGGCTGTGAAGCTTCAAGCACTATAGAAGAGGGCGGCTCAAAGCGCAGTCACAGACCATTTAAAAACTTCCAGAGCTGTGTGAGTTTGTATTTTGTGTGTGAGTTTGTATTTCGTATTTTCCATGAATGTGAGTTTACATTTTGCAGAAGTATCAGGCCACAGTATTTTATTAAAAAATCTGGTCCTCTGCAGATAATTTCAGAAGCACTGCTACTTAATAAACATAGTTATCCTGACTGCCATCCATTTTACTAGTACCTCTGTTAAATTCTGTCCATTGGTAGCACCACCTACTGAGAATAATTTTACAATCAAACTATTCTGAAAAATTTTCAAACATCTAAAATTTATTTTTTCATTAATATAAGTATTTTTTCTCCATTTAGGCTGAATTAATGAGCTTTTATCATCTGTTTAGAAAGTGCAGTAATCACAACCAGTTTGATGATTTATACTCATGGGGTCTTTGGTTGGGAAAGCTGTCCTTTAATCTAACACGTCAGTGCTACTCTTCAATGCAGCCAGACACTGGGAAGCCTCGTATACCAAACAAACCCTACACAAGACATTAAGGTACAAAGTTATAGTTGTGCTGCAGGTGTAGAACCGATGATACAAGAACATTATTTTTGTATTTCAGCTCAGAAAATTAAGAGAAACAGTTTAGCTTTCTTGCCTCCTTAATACTGATGAGAAATAACACATTAGACCAATGTCAAAACCAGACAGTGCAGTTGAGGAATGTGAAGTTGCTTTTATTTTAGAAACTGCTAAGTAGTACCTGAGTGGAGGTCTCAGGAGCCTGCTCATGGACTGTCTTGTCTCATGGTTAAGTGAAAATATTCTTGCACAGTTCTTATGTCTGAAGCCAGCCCTAAAGTGTCAACACCAGAGGCTCTCCAGAGGGAATGTGCAACAGAAGAAAGACAGATGTGCTTTCCAGGATGCAAAATGCAATATGCAAAAAACCAAACCAAACCAAACCAAAAACCCAAGCGTGCAGACACTCAGCCAGCCAGCAAAGCCCCACATCGCTGCCATGGAAGTGTGTCCATCTACAGTCCGTCTTCCAGGGAGCAGACCGTCTTCTGAGGTCAGCAGGGACACAGATGAAGATGGAGAGCCAGAAGGGCTCCCAAAATTCTCATTGTTTCTATTCACTGTAATCTCAAAATGACAACCACATATCTCTTGGAACCATGGAAGAGAGGAGAAAGAAGTAATATATTTCTGTAAAGTGCTGGAGCTCTACAGTCTGAAGACAATGAGGAATTATGATGGGCTTAATATTTCAATGCTTTCCTATGTCTTTGTAAAAAGCCATTTTACTCCCAACTCCCTGATCAGCTCCGACCAGTTATAGGTACTCTATACTCAGTGTGTTCAGGAGAAGCTGTGCTCACCAGCCTGTTTCCGGGGCTGGGGATTTATCTCAGTGGTGTCTCCGCCTGCCTCGCAAGGTCCCAAGTTTGATCCCCAGTACCAAAAAAAAAACCAAAAAAACAAAACAAACAAAAACAAAAAAACAACAAAAAAACCCTTCAGATTACCAGCCTGTGTCCTGCCAGGAAGATAGATCCTCACTGTAAATCACCCCTGCTGTCAATATGTCAGCAAAGCCCTGGTGCTCTACTTAAGAAGCTCCGCTCAGTTACAACAGAGCCAATGCTGGCTCAGAGAAACTAGGCTTAAAGGCTGCTTCCTTACCTGAAAATATGTCTAAGTAGGAAAATCTAAGTATATTTGCTTTGGAAGGAAAACAAATAAACAAACAAACAAAGAACCCAGACACTTCCCCAAATCTCACTCATCCAAATAAAAGATCCAATTTACATCTTTACTATTCCCTCATTCTTTTACTATCAGGTTTGAATGTTGTCTCCTCTCAAACTCAAGATGAAATTTCACTTGTGTTGTAATGGTATCAAGATGAGGGACCATTAAGGGGTGAGATTAGGTGAGGAGGCCTGGCCCTCAGGAATGGATCAGTACCATTAAAACAGGAGTTTGTCATAAAAGGGGGCGTAGTCTCCCCTCCACTTGCCCTTCTGCCTCCCACCATGCTAGAAGCACCAAGAAGGCCCTCCCAGATGCCAGCCCTTATGTCTGCTCGGCCACCATAACTTGAGAACTAAAATTCTCTTCTTTGTAATTATCCAGTTTGTGGTGGTTTGTTAAGGCAGCATGGAAAGGACAAGGACACCTGATCACACACCTTCCTCAAATACTTGGTACTATGCATGGCAGTGGGAAGAGCCTTGTTCTCCTAGAATTCCAAATCCTTTGTCATTCGACCTTAGAACCATGGAGGAAGGTCACTAATTCTTTCAGGCTCTAAAGAGCTCCCTTTAAGGTCATCTAAACAAGAGTTTATGGAAATGTTGCAGGCAGTGAGCTGATGAATTTCTCAAGGTGCCATCGCAGCCACTTAGGAAAGAGGTGATTTGGCAAACGACAGGCTCTGCACCTAATCGTCACCCATTCTCACAGACTCCCCCAGCTCCTCTTGATATTCATGTCAGCACATGGGAGATATATGTGTCATACTGATGAGTCACTCTGGGGAAGAACTAGCAGTCTGGCCCGAGCAGAAGCCAATACACCTGACAACTGCACCAATTCTCTCCGAAGACAGATGCGATTCGGTGACAGGCAGTGGGGAGTGATTCATGTTCGGATGCTGAATTACCAGGGAATCTCCATCCAAGGTCTTATCTAGATGGAGAGACTATTTGAGAGACATCAACCATACATCTTCACAGTTATTCTAAGAGATGATGGGTACTTGACTTATTTCTTCAGGAAAAGCGAGGTCTCAGGGTCAAAACATTTTTCCAGATGATACCTAAGATATGAACGTGAATCCTGAGGTCCTGGCCAATACCTCAATCTACTCAAATCATCACAAAGTCTAATTACTACAGCATGACTTTGTAAAACAAACGGAAAACATTAAAAAATAAACAAATACACAACAGCATTTGGGGGATTATAAAGCTGAGTGTGTTAAATGGAGGAACCACAAAGTGCCAAAACTTGAGCTAAAGAGCTAATACTTGGATTAATATTGCAGATTTAAAGTGAGATGTTAGGGGCCCCAGCATTGTCTCCTTCCCCACTTGGACTTGCTCCTCTTTTCAGGTACTCCAGGGCCCCATAAAGACTGCTCTATTTCAACTGCATCTCAGCAAAGCCCCACGGAATTGGATTGGCTGACAAAATCCTCAGAGAAAACTTTCCTGTCCTTTGACATTCATCCTGGTCCAAGGTGGGGGCCTCCCAGCCCTCAATGAGAGGGGAGGAGACACTTCTCTGGCCACCTTTACTGTCATTTTGATCTAAGGAACAATCACATAAGATAAAAGCACCAAAGAAAGTTAGTGTACCTACAGAGCTCTGAGATGCAGGTGCCACCTGAGATGCTGACACTCTTTACCCCATTCCTGGTACAAGAATTTTCAAGTGAAGTGTGGGAAAACTTTACAGACATTATAGTTAAATCACTGGGGTAGCTTGGAGCTTTTGAAGAGGGGCTTTGGTAGGTGGTGCTCAAGCTGTTTCTCTTCCAGGACAGTGCTGAGAAGTAAACAGAATGTATGCTTCGAGTATGGACATGCCTGTCTCAAAATCCTGTTCTTAAAAAGCTCAAAGTCTGGATTCATGGCAGCTTCAAAGTAAGAGACAAGGGTGGCAAAGGCATCATCCCTCCCACCCACAGACCCTGGGATACCTTCGTTTTCCTCCAGCTTCCGGATGTGGCGCAGGATGGGCTGCAGATTCATGTAGAGGCGGTGGCTGTTGCTCAAAAGTTGCAGGAGGTGTCTGGAGCGCATGGGGCACCCCGTGTAGTATATGAGCTTCCTGGCAGAGGGCAAGCCATCCGGCAAGATCTCAAACTTCTTACCCTGTGGCGAAAAGCATGAATCAAATTAAAGGGAAAACAAAATCCTGATTTGCTAAGGTCCCCTTCATTTTCCACTTAGTAAGGAAAACTACAGACTGAGAAGCAGATGTATAAAGCTCCATATAAGATTCCCTAAGGGATAAAGTATTGTTTTTCCCTCTCCAAAATGTCACAGAACAGAGGATTACCACTAATTCAGGGAATTATCTAGCCAGTGGCCTCCAGGAAACAGCTAAGGGACATCTTCAGCTTCTCTGCCTGGTCAGTCTACTTGCATAATGGAGAAAAGAGCCCAAAATGAAAGCATCCTCAGATTTAACCCCAGCACCCCAACTCAGCATACAAGAAGGCGAATTCCACAAGAGATGAATGCATTCAAATATTTATCAAACACATATATGTACTGAACACTGTGACGGACACTGAAAACATAACAAAGAACAACACAAGGTCCCTATCTATCCTCATGGAGCTATATCCCAGTGGGGAAGAGGGTAAAGAAACTCATGAAATAATAGATTATGGAATGCCGGGAAGGAAATACATTATAATAGCGACCAATACATGGTCCCTATTTTGGGATAAGAAAAACTAGAAAACTTCTTTAGCTCAACAGAAGCAGGAGCTGGCAACTGGAGATGTGAAAGAAAAACACCAGTCATCAGTGATATACAAGAAATATCATTCTTTAAGTCTGGGATCATTCACATAAAATTCTAGGTAGAGGGTCAAAGTGCCTATTATATTGGGTCTTAAGAATTCCTTTAACTTTCCTAATAATGAACTGGGCAAAGCCCTTCAGACAGACTGCTTCTTGGCTGGAGGGAAAGGTTGGAGGCACGTTCCACCACATGCCTCAGTCAAGACAAGCAATATGGGACCATACAGCCCAGGCAAGGAGAATTTTTTTTCCCCAATAAAATCTTTGGACTTTTTATTCCCATGCTGGGGATTGAACTCAGGACCTTGCACTTGCAAGGAAGGCATGGTGCCACTGAGCTAAATCCCTGGCTGGGCTTTTTATTTTAAAGGAACTACTAGTGAATCCTAATACTGGAACAGGAATAACTGACATTTAGTGAGCACTAAGCACATATTAACTCACAGAATCCTCCTAAGCCTATGGGGAAGGGTCCATCATTACCACTTTAGAATGAAACCAGGGCAAAGTGAGATTAAGTCATTTTCTCAAGGTCACATAGCTGGGCATGCATGTCTGGGTTGCCTGCAAGAAGAATCACCCAGGAAACTTGTCAAAATAGACTCCCAGTCTCGAGACAGCCTAGACCCCTGAATCAAAAATCTTAGGGGAGGAGGATAAGGCCCAGAAATCTGTTTTCTTTTTTTTCCTCTTTTTATTTTATGAAAAAATAAAACACATTTTCATAACCAAGTAACTATAGTTATCACACTGTGTATAGTTATCATCAAAGTATTCAGTACAAGACATAAACTAAAAAGATTCTTACAAAAAAGAAACATAACACAAACTTCCTTTTTAGTGAATTAAGATAAGCCATCAGTATAAATGAAACAAATTAGCATATATATTGAATAGTTTAAAAACAATGGAGTATATGAGGAAGCAATTAAACCTTTTCCTTTTTTTACTTTGCTCTTTCTTGCATGCTCTGTGTACATAGTTTCTTTCATATAAGAGAAACTATGCAGTATTTAAGCCTGTTTTACTTAATACTATGTTCTCAAATTGAACCCATGTACCTATGTTTCAGGTTTAACTTTCTTTTTGGCAGCATACCACTCCACTGTGTATAAATACCACATTTTCCTTATCCATTCATCTGCTGATGAACATACATGTTGTTTCTAAGATCTAGCTATTATAAATTATGCTGCTATCAACATAGGTATGCATGTATCCCTGAATATGATGAGTTTAACTCTTTCAGGCAGATACCTACGATATGGATAGCTGAGTCAAATGGAATCACTACTGTTAGTTTTTCTGAGGAATGATTTCTATAGTGGTTGTACTAGTTTACATTCCCTGCAAGAATGTAGTAGAATTCCTTTTCCCCCATATTCTCACCAGAATTTGTCATTAGATCTTTCTGATAGCCATTTTTTCTGGGGTAAGATGGCATCTCAGTGTTGCTCTAATTGCATTTTTCTGATGGCCAGTGATGATGAGCATTTTTCATGTATTTATGGGCCATTTGTACTTCTGAGAAGTGTCTATTTATCTCTGTTGCCCATTTTTTTGAATGGGTTCTTTATTTTTGGGGGGAGTGTCTACATTTGAGTTCTTTATCTATTTTTGATCTTAGTCTTCTGTGCAACAGCTGGCAAAATTACTTTCCCATTCTATAGGTTGTCTCTTCACTCTGTGGGTTGTTTCCTTGGCTGTGCAGAAGCTTTTACATTTGATACTGTCCCATTTGTTAGTTCTCAACACTATTTCTCATCCCACTGGGATTCTGTTCATAAAAGTCCTTCACTATGCTTCTGTCGAGTTGTACCTATTTTTTTTTCCAGAAGATTGTTTGTTTTACATTTAAATCTTTGATCCACTTTGATTTTTACTTTAGTATATGGTGAGATATATGGGTCTAGACTCAATCTTTTCTGCATGAGGATATCCAACTTTCCCAGTACCATTTATTAAAAAAGGCCGTTTCCTCCAGTGTGAGTTTTTGGCTCCTTTGTAAGACCAAATAGCCATATGTGCCTGGAGTTGCTTCTGATTCCTTTGTGTTCCATTGATCCACATGCCTGTTTTTGTGCTAGTACCAGGCTGTTTTAATCATGGTAGCTTTACAGTATAACTTCAAGTCTGAAACTGTGATGCTACCCTGCTTTGCTTTTGCTACCCAGGATTGCTTTTGCTATTCTGAATCTCTTCTGATCTCATATAAATTTTAGGATTGCTTTCTTTAGCTGTGAGAAATGATGTTGCTATTTTAATTAGGATTGCATTAAATCTGTGCATCAGTTTTAGAGGTATAGCCCTTTCTTTTTTTTTTTTTTGAGACAGGGTCTCACTATGTAGTTGAGACTGACCTGGAACTCACTATGTAGCCCAGGCTGGTCTCGAACTCACAGCGATCCTCCAGCCTCAGCCTCCCGAGTGCTGGGATTACAGGCGTGCACCACCACGCCCGGCTCCATAGTCATTTCAATTATGTTGGTTCTGCTTATCCAGGAACAGGGGGTACTGATGTCCTACTTTCTGATGTCCCCTTGCTTTTCCTTTTCAGTCTGATGTAACTTTCACTGTAGAGGTCTTTCATTTCCTTAATTACATTAATGCCTAAGTATTTAATTTGATGCCATGATGAATGGTATTTTTTTTTCTACTTGCTTTATTTTTGTACCAGGAATCGAACTCAGGACTGTGCACTTGTGAGGCAGGCATGATGCCACTTATCTAAATCCCCAGCCCCCTAATTGCTTTTTAAGTGAGTTAATTATTAGTGTATAGGAATACTATTGATTTTTGTGTGTTTATTTTGTATCCTACTATACTGCTTAATTTGGTTATCAATTCTAGGAATCTTTTGGTGGAGATTTTTGGGTCTTGTCCTCTCAAATAATGACATTTTGAGTGTCCTTTTCTCTACACATCCCTTTCTTCTGCTTGATTGCTCTAGCTAATATTTCAAGGACTATATTGAACAGGAGTGGTGACAATGGATATTTTTGTCTTGTTCCTGATTTCAGAGGGAAGCCTTTCAGTTTTCCCCATTTAAAATGATACTGGCAGTAAGTTGGTCCTAAATGGCTTTTATCATGTTAAGATAAAGATATTCTACATCTATTTTCTTCAGTTTTTGTCATAAATGGATATTAGGTTTTGTCAAAGGCCTTTTCTGCATCTATTGAGATGATCATGTGATTTCTGTCTTTGCCTCTATTTATGTGATAAATTACATTTACTGATTTGCATGTGTTGAACCATCCTTGCATCCCTGGACCTACTTGGTCATGGTATATGATCTTTTTGATGATTTGTCCCCTTCTGTTTGCCAATAGCTTGTTAAAGATTTATGCAACTATGTTTATTAGAGAAAGTTGCCTATAATTCTTTTTTTCAGCTGGATCCTTGTCTGGTTTGGAGATCAAGATGTTAGTTTCCAAGAATGATTTTGGAGGTACTCTTTCTCTCTTAATTTCATTAAAAAGTCTGAGGAGTAGTGGTGTTAGATCTTTGCTGAAGTTTTGGTACAATTCAGCTATAAATCCATCAGGTCCTAAGCTCTTCTTAGTTGGTAGTTTTTTTTATTACTGCTTTAATTTCATTGCCTGTTACTAGACTGTTGAGATTAAGTCTTCTTGATTCAGTTTTGGCAATTCATATTATCTAAGAATCTCTCCATTCCTTCTGAGTTCTTCAATTATTTGGCATATATATTTGTGAAGCAGTTGCTAATGATTTTCTGGATTTCCAGCAGTGTCCACTGTGATTTCACTGTTTTCCTTTTTCTTTAATTAGTTGAACACGCTTCTGAGATATGTTGATACTTAACAAGATCCAGGAATCACTGGGTCCAAGATCTCAATTGCATATATGCATATTACCACAGAGTTTGGGCTATAGAAAGGGCATTCGGGGTATGATCTGCTCAATTTCAAAAGCAGCTCAGATCCTTGAAAGAGCCTGAACATGAGAGAGCCAGTGGGGAGGAGGCAGGGCAAGCCTCACTCACTATGACTAAAGTGAAATCAGACTGAAAAGGGCCCGAATAGTTAAGGTAACAGGAAGACCAAAGAAGGCCTCTGGATTCTGTGCAAAGCCCGGAACCACTGCTGATTTGTGTGTGCAAAGCAGCCCTTTATTTCAACAGGCTGTCTGCCTACAGGAGAGAAGTACACATCTACAAATCCTTATCTTCCTCCTTTCTTCACGTATTTCTTTCCCCATAATTTCTGAAAAAGCAAAATTATGGGTTTTAATGGCCACCAGATGCACATGTATGAACTTTAATTTTTAAACCCTACCAAAAAATGGATAGAGCTGGAAAAGCAGAGAAACTGGGAAAAATCAAGAATCTGCTCTCACAAAAAGTATATCATTCTTAATAGTCTAAAAATAAAAGTACTTTTCCTGATAAGTACTGTAGACTTTTCTTTATAATGATGAGTTTTAAATAGTGAGGTATTAATAGAAACGTTTTCTTCACCACTCTTTATTTTCTCAAAAGAAAGAGCTTCCAAAAGAACCAGCCAACCTCTACACTGAGAGTAAGTCACTCTGTGATTACAGCTTTGTTTTCCAATTCCTCTGCTATGATTTCCTTTCTTAATGGTAATTCTGCTTGATGAACTCATCCTGTAGTTTTCCCACATCTATTCTGCAGCTGGAATAACTTAGAAGGAGCAGGCACACAAGGTAAAATCAGTCAATTGTTTGGCTTTGGGGTCTGTGATTTTAAACTAACTACTGATAAGAATGACAAGGATTATAAGAATACAAGAAAGAAAATTTTCTTCTGCTTCAAAATTTGAAAAAGAATTTATGTGCCTGAGACAAAATGTTTTAAAACCAAGAAAAAATATTTAGCAAAAAACCCAAACTTATGAGATTTTTAAAGAAAATTAGTTATTTTGAACTTACCACAAATACCAACTTTCCAACATTTGTCCAGGGGAAATCATATAGTAATTGTTTCTCTTCATAATGATTCTGTGAAAAGAATTACAATACATCTGGAGTTTTAGGACAAATAACATACTCTAAGATGGCTCTAACTTCTCTCCTAGAAAACTAAAGTTCAGTAATTAAAATATGAAAGAGTTTTCAAACTCTCTTTGGAGAAGTACAGGCAGTAATTAAAAGATTACTGATAAAATTCTGTAGCATTTGGTTCCTGTGTAACTGCATTAACTGGCTGTTTGAAGGGAATCTTTTCCCTTCTGGCCTATCCATAAATTCCAATAAAAAGTCCAAAAGATTCAGGCATTCCAAAAAGGCAGTAAGGGCCTGACTTTCATAATTGGATAGTCTGTCTCCATCAAAGATAAGACATCCTTATAGCATCCTATATCTTGTGAAAAGATATTCTTCCTCCCTGTAGGATAATGGCGCCCCATCTGCAAAACAGTGACAGTTACTATGTTCTCCAGGGACAAGTTTTATCACAGGAAATTAAAACACCTAGCCATGCTCCAGATTAAAATGCCATTTTTCTCTCCACACTTATTAGCTGTTCCATGGGATAAAAGAAAATACTGAAAGTCAGTGGCACACAAAGAAATGTTAGGGTATTTTAACGATGTGTTAGTGATATGGTGGTGATGAATCTGGGCTAATCTTTGGCTTGTTTTCTGTTACAGTGAACTTACTACTGTCAAAGATCAGGATGAGTCACTTCATCCAATCTATGCCATTCACATCTGTGCTAGACAAACAGGAAATAACAACTGCTAACAGACCACTGAACCTATGGTAGGACCACACAGGCACACTCTAAATGTAAGACATGGTCAATACTAGATGGAACTTATTTCTCATTTACCAACCTGAAAAATCTGTATTCCTCGCATGGTCAATCCAAGGGTCAGTGAGGCTTCAATCTCCCTTTTATCCTGTAGATATAAAATTTTATGAAAAAGTATAATTTTTTGAAAGAATACTTCAGAAATGAGTATTTTAGCATCAAAGAAAAAGAAAGAGATTCTGGGATTGGAAAGCAATTGACTTCTAGTAACTTTGCTCAAGTCTTCCCACATCCCTAGTTTTCTACAGATTTAAGAAAACAATAAGCATATGCTAAATCAATGATGAAGTATTATATATTTTGTATCCTTAGAGTTCAAAATTTTAGTGTTTTCACTATATTATACATACTTCAACTCTGACAATAATCCTGAGCACTTATGCTATTGAGAACTCTAAGAGGCAAAACTATTTTTCGGCTTTCGTATCATTTGATTTTTTTCACCTTCTCTTAGGCTTACTCTCTCCTCAGATGTCAGAATATTAAATCTAATTACATAGTTGTAGTCGGAGCTGTAACAAACTTTATATATTTAAAATTGGACTAATCTCCCTGTTCCCTGAAATCAAAATTACAGACAAGCGACTAAGTAGTTAAGGTTCTCTCATGATGACAGATAATACATTCAGTTAGTTTGGAAATACATATTTTTAAGAAGTTCAATTATGACTTGCCAGTATGATACACATTCTATCAATTAAACTATGTAAAAATGAAACTACAACAGGCATAAGGAAAAAAATTCTACAATTAAAAATGTATTCTGAAATTTGGCTACATCTTTTATGTGCTCATCTGTAGTAAGTACATTTAAAGTATGAAGTTTAAAGTAAAACAATAAAGTTACTAATAGAGATACTACTATCATGAGATAGCTTAAAACAATAAATGGATGTGTGCACATCACTGTTTAATGTCAGCTTCCTCATGACCACGGGAAGAGATATTTTTAGAAAATGGATCCTCACTTGGCAAAAAGAGAAGACATAGCCTATTTTCAATATTTGGACTATTCCTTTCCAACTCATATATTTTTTATGTCAGAAAGGCACGTATTGTATGAGATTTAACAGGAGAAACCAATCCATCACTGTTTAAGCTGTGGTCAATTTCCCATCCGAGGCTGTACTGATTGCTTTCTGAAATAAGACTGTGCTCATAAAAATGCGGTTGTTCACACATGAGGAATATACTGGTGAGGGAAGGGGCACCACACATTTTTTTCAGAATGCTCCCTGCCCTGTCTACCCTTTTTCCATTTCATAAGTAACCCCAAAATGAAGCAGATTTAATGGCTGCCTCTTGATTTCTCCAAAGAATGAAAACTACCCTTCAGGTGATACTATTTATTCAGTCCCTCATTCCATCACATTTTTATTAAATATCTTGTTTCAAGCAGACAAGATACTCACTTTCTATGCTGTGTAGAAGAATCACACATTAAGCAAAATTTTAAAATTAACTTTCCTCAAAAAAGACAAACTGGGCATTTTTACTTCGCTAAAAGATTACTTAATAGAATCCTTTAAAATAGCAAGTTTCCCCAGCAAGTAAAACAAGAAGCAATTAAAATTTATCCAACACTTGCCAATGTGCCAGGTAGTCCACCTAGTTATTATTTCCAATTCATTACTCACGGACTCCTCCCAACCTTTTGGAGTATACATTTAATAGATGGCCCATGATTACAGTGATCATGAATAGTAACACAGGGCTTGTAAGTAACAACTAACTCCAAAGCCAGGGTCTCGCCAATGTATTATTCATACTTCTAATATATTTTAAAATATAGGCTGATTCTTAAAAATGTCATTTATCAGTATTTTCTCATGTGAAGTGAGATGCCACAAATGAAATCTCTGAAGGAAGAAAAAACCAAAATCAGTCTTTTAGGAATTTACCCACAGAGATTTTGTGGACCTAATTATATATTATATATTATATATTATATCGCACATCTCTTAGGCAGGGAAGAGAGAAAGAGAAAAAAACCAACCCATCTGCTGGCCACTCATTAAGTTTTTGGAAACTAAGAAGATTGTCCAACAATACAACCAAATACCATCCAGTCTCCAATGGTCTAGTTATGGTGATCTGAACATAAAGAAAGGGTGCAGTACAGATAACAAGCACAATAACACTAGCAACAGCATCAAGCCCTACATCATGCTTAAGGTCTGATAGGCACTGTTTTAGGCACTCTGTATCCACTAATTCCTTTAGTCTGTCTAAGGAATAAGTTCCTGTCCCTGTTTCATTATGGGGACACTGAAACATGTAGAGGTTAAGTAACTTGCCTAAGTTCCCATAGGAAGGAGCCAAGCTGGGATTCAATCCCAGGCACTCAGGCCCAACTGACCATGTTCTTAACCACTTTATCACATTTGGTTTGCAGACATTAAGTGGGAATTGAGGAGTTCCTGGCAAGGAAGTGCACTGTGGAAAAGCAAAAGGGGTGGGGAAGAGAAGACAGAGGAAAAACAGTGTGAGGGCTCCCTGCAGGTCATCCTCTGTATCCCATTGTTATTTAGGTGTGTACCCTCTGCCCCAGGGTGGAAAAATGAGCCTAGGGATGCCAGGAAACAGAGGACTAAGGACTTCAGAGTGAGAAGAGTGCAGAGTGGGCGGTTTATGCCCTGGGGCTTTGTCACCATGAGGCCTGGGCTGAATCCCACTCTGCCCTTTGGTTTTACCACCTTAGGTGAATTACTTAACCTCGTAAGCCTCAGTTTCTTGGTCTGTAAACAATGATTATAGTTTCATTCTTACAAGTTATAAAGATTTAAAAAAAAAAAAGGAAATACAAAGTGTGCCCAATAAGCACAGTATCCTATGAACATGAGCTGCTGTGATGATCTTGAGACTGATGGACACACCAGCGGCATAGCTTGACTTTGAGCAATCTTAGACACGACTGAGCAGGTAAGCTGCAAATGTTATTCCCCAGAGCAGAGAAGTACATTTGGGGCTGAGAAAAAATAACTCTTCCATCCATAGTCACTGAAAAACCAGACTCCCAATTTGTAACCATTTGTTTACCTCACTATTAAAATCATTAAAAAAAATAAAAGCTCCATCCTGTTTCCATACCAGAGGAAAACACCATCGCTTAGCAGACTGACCTACCAGTGTCTTTAACTGCTCTGTCATGGCTGTTTCCGTGTCCTGAACTGATTCAAAATGTTTACCTTTCACAGTCATTTTGACTTTGGGGAAGAGCCAGGAGTTGCATGGTGCCATAGCCAGTGGATAAGATGGATGAGGACACAGCATAATGATTTTATGAAGCTGGCTTTCCACTGCATGGCACTCAGCAACTGCACTCACCGTATTTTTTATCATATCTCCTACAGACACTCATGAAAGATAACTTCCAGAACTGCTTCAGAAGTGGCAAGAAAGAAGAACCTAGATATATCATGTACAGGTACAAATTCCCAATGATGAATGTGATCACAATGTATACCTAAATGTACCAATAAACTGAATGGAAAAAAAAGTGGCAAGAAAGTAGAATAAGTGTGTTCCAAGTGAGGGGGAGTATTTTAAGGGGATTAATAGCAATGTGTCTTTTAATCTACTAACTTTTAAAATTCAAATAGTCACTGTGTATTTTGATCACACTTTTTATGATAACAAAACGTTAAAAAGCCTGTTTATTAGCAGGGCTTACTAGTGCATGCCTGTAATCTCAGCACTCTGGAAAGTTAAGGCAGAACTGTCACGTTCAAGCCCAGGCTACTTAGTAATTTAGTGAGATACTGTCTCAATATTGTATAAAACTTTTTTAAAGAGCTTGTACATATAGCTCAGTGTGAAGGGCCTAGGCTCAATACCAAGTACTGGGGAGAAAAAAAAGCCTGTTTAAAAAGGAAATCATAATTTTCAAGATGACTGAAATCCTAATTGAGAAGGTGCTTTCCTCAGAACCACAGACACGGTGCAGTTTTATACCTTATACAATCTGTAGTAATGAACAGGGACGTCATCCAGTCGGACAGCTTCTTTGATATATTTAAGATAGGCCTCGGAAGCAGTCAGTGCAAACTGATCTTTGTGCATGTTTGGAATGTGCTTCAGGATGTAGTCCTTCCCTCTCTTGGAAACAACCTGTTGGGACACAAGGGGGTGTGCAATGTAGCATTTGTTGGAGGGATGTAAGTAGAACTCCCACCCGCAAAATGATTAAAGAGTGAGTTTAATATAGGCCATGCAAACTGGCTAATTTCCACTAGAAAATTCCCACTTTTATTCTGTTTTCAGCATCTGTTATGTTACTGACTGAATCAGCTAATTCTATAAGCTACAAAATCCAGTTGGTGGTAGTGCTGCATATCTAAAAAGAAAAATGACAAGAAATGGGGAAAATAGGTTCTTTGGCCTGTAAAGTCACCAAGAAAAATAGCCCATGAAAACATACATAATTTTGTGCACATCATAATTTATACTTGCAAAATGATTGGAACCCTAAAATATGTCCACAGCCAGCACATCTGCAGGTTCTGGATCCTACTTAATTCTAAAATTATAGCCACACGGAGTGGGATACTCTCAATCCTTATCTGGAGAAGACAGGGGACAGGGAAGAATTCTCTGCAACAGTGCTGCTCAGAGTATGAACCCCGGAAACAGGAGGCACTATGAGTGGGTGAGAAAGCCATGGACACTGAGGAAAGCTAACAACAAAACACAAGAGGATTTCCTTTCTCAGGCAGTGATGGGTAATCAAGTGTTTACATCAGAGGACGCTGCCTGCTGCTGACTGGGCGGGATGAGAAGGCAGGTTGACAACCAGGAGTTCACCTGACTCCAGAGTTTGGGCACTGGGCCCTGCCCCTAGAGACTAGAAACAGAGAGCTAGGATTGTATGGAAGTGAGGTGGGTCAATATGAGCTTGAGGAACCTGTGAATAAAGAGCTACTTCACAGAAACGGGAAGGAAACAGAGTTGGGAGTCATCTGCATGTTGGTGGTTGTTAAACACATAGATTCAGATAAAATCTCCCCATTTAATGAGTGTTTAAGCACCAAGTACAGCCACAAAATTCAGGAAAAGTAGTGAAAGCTCTTCTCTGTATTTGGCGATCATGAGGTCACTGGTGACCTAACAGACAGCACCATGAGTGGACTGGTAGGCAAAGAAGGCTGATGGAAGTGGCCTGAGGAATACACACAGGAGGAAGCTAGAAAGTCTAACACACAAGCTTTCCTGAGAAGGGAGACAAAGGAGGTGGCTCCTCCTCCTCGAGAGTATGTGGGTGCTATCAAGTTTGATGTGTTCTGACTGAGGGAGAGAGTGAGTTGCAGAAGAGGGTGACGCCACAGAGAAGAAAAGACACAGCAAGACTCACAGGGAAGATGAGACAGAATCAGACAGGATGGGGGTGGGGTTGAGACGGCTCACACCAGAACAACCTACATTTTCCTGCTGAAGGAAGGGGGTGGTGGCTCCTGTCCTATGAGGAAAGGACATGGAGTTAGAGTGAGAAGTTGACTTCCATTTGTTTTCTCAGCCCAGGAAAGCTGTGAATGATCTCATTCTTGAAGAAAATATAGCCCCACAAAAGGTAGATAAGAAGGTCATAGCCAAATACATGCCAAAAGGAGGCTGGCAAACTCAAGTTCCACCACACTGAAGATGAAGAGCAGTCCTCTTCTCATCAGCCAGCTACAGACCAAGTACCTCAAGACATCGTGTGTGTTAGGTTTGTATCTGGGCATCAGATACAATTTTACCAGTCCTAGAACGTGTGGGTTCCCATCTCTTGAAGGAGCAGAGGAGCAGCACTATGAACTAGAAACATGTTTGAGAAAAGTCTTGTGAAAGTTTGAAAACAGTGCCTACCCAAGATGGGAAGTAAGCCTCTGGCTCAAAGTATTTTCCATAGTGCTTATTCCTTTTGAAGTTCCCAAGATCAGCCTGCAGGGCAAAGGCTGCCAGCAGGAAGTAGGCCTCCTCTCGGAGCACACACTGAGAATGAAGGACTTGTTTTCTCAGGTGCCAGTAATAATAGTATCTTGCTGCTCTGTCACTGGGAAAATAAAAGAAAGCAGAAGTCACATTCTGGGTGAACAACACACTGGCATGTAAACAGAACCCAAGTGCTGCTTTCCATCTGGTGACAGGACCCTGCTTCTGCTCCCTCCCACCTCACTAAAACAGTGGACACAGCTAGGGCCTGCGCCACTCAGGTCACCAGAGCCAGAATGCCAAGTCAGGCTACCAGGGCTGCAAAAATAACCTTTCTCAAGGCTTGCTGCATTTGATTTACTGAGAGAAGGGGAAAGGGTCTGAAAAATTCTATTCCAATATGGTAAATGTGTCAATGAACATATAGAACATTAGAAGTCTATACATTTGTCTGTTTTGAAATTTCTGCCACAACAATGCTACACACAACATAAATGAGAATAATACTAGAGGTAGTCTTGACTTTCATGTTTTGTTGTAAATTTTTTGTTTTGTTTCTTAGTTGAGCATATTACAAATACTCTAAGGCCCTTTAAACAATGTTTGCTTATATGCCCTCCTGGAAAAAAAACCTTTTTATCTAGAGTCCTTTCTGTGTTTATGTTTCTCTGAGAATTAATGAACTAAAAACTATCCTTAAATCTGTTGTTTCATATTAAGTGAATGTTATTTTATGGGTGTTTTCATAAGCACCTCTCATAACTGTGATTGTTTGCTCAAAAATAAATACTTGTTGCAAAATCCATTGAGGTCAGAAATACAGTGTTCATTAAGCATGTTGAAAAAGAAGTATAAACTGGGGAAATCCTGGATAACACTTGAAAAAAAAAGTTCACAGGTAAACAGGATGTGTTTGTGATGAAAATAAAAATGCAACAAAAAATATATGCACATATTTTTATTTTAATGAGTTCATTTGCCTCCCATTACTGAAAGTTGATGGTTTTCTCATTACTGAAAGTTGATGAGATTCATAGCTTATTGTTGATGAGATTCATAGTTTATCAGTAGATGACAATAAAAACATGGGCTTATTTTAACCAAGTATGAAGAATTTTAAAAATAAAGCATTCATATAATTCCTCTGGGACAGAGTACTTTTCAGAGCATGTCTTTTCATAGTGCTGACCACACATCATTTGTACTGGTGCATCCTTTGGGGAAAAGGCAGAAGTAAAGGGATGAATTAAATATTCATTAGCCCCAGGGAGTTAATTAGTAGTTAACTAATAAATTTTCTTTCTTTCCAGGGCACTCCTCACTTAACAGGTAAATTAGACGAAAGATTTATTTTATATAAACAGACTAATGAAGTTTCCTAAACTTTAAATAAAATTCTTTATGGGATAATGTTTTTGGCCTTTAATTTTCATCTGACAGTAATATAAAACACTCTCAAGAGCTAATTTGTCATGTAACTCTAATAGCCAATGTATCTTTTTCTTGTTCATATGGACTTTACCAAAATTGTAAAGCAAAGGGAAGAACAGAGTTCACGTTTCTTGTTATTTTTCTCTCAGGTGAGAAAAGCACCTTTGAAAGTTTTCCAGCACTGAATCCTCTTATATGAGGATAAATGAGCTTTTAAAATGGTGAATTCTGAATCTGTATCGTGACTACAGTTCATGTACCCATTTCTAAAAAAAAAAAAAAAAGAAGTTACCTGCCCTTGCCAAACTGCATATAAGAGTCCCACAGGAGCTCCAAAGGGCTTAATCTTAGCTTTCAATCTATCAGTAAGAATAGAAGCAAGATCCCAAATATGAAAGGAAAACCAGGCTAATATGAAGACCTGGGCATTTTTACAAGAGGTGCTGTCCCTGTTCCACTTCCTACACCATCCACCCCAACCTTGGAAAAGAACACAATCCTTCAGTCTCTCCCCTCTCCACAAAATTGCTAATTCTTTCTTCATGACTCATTTGTTAATGAAAAGGTGGAGTCAAGAAAATAACTGCTAGTGATGCTGTTAATATTTTCATTCATAATTCACCATTACCATTTATTTATTCAACAGACGTTTATTCAGTACCTACTACACCTATGTTTTAGGGATCAAGGGTTTGCAAGTGTGCAGAAAGACTAAAAAGAAAAACAAATTGCTGCTGTCACGGAGTTTATACTCCCAGAGGCGGAATGTCAGAACATTGGCATGCGAGAAGAAGTGCTATGGGGAAAAAGAGCTTACAATTTCTCCTTGTCCTGTACCTGATCAATCTGCCGTTTTCTACATAGTATTGTACTCGGAAGTGTATAATCATGGGAGGCCCAAACTGGTCAATACCCTAAAACAAAGACACACACAAAACAAGCTGTTCAAAACAAGTTACTTAAAAAATGAGTTTCAAAAGCCACTGTATTAACCACTATTTGTCAGATGCATTTTCAAGAGTGAAGAGCTCTGGCCACTTGTAATGAGTGAGAGCTTGGTTTGGGTACCCTGTGGGTACCAGGTTCCTACAAAACCAGGAAGTTGCAAAGCAAAACAGGGCACCATCCCACTGTCTGAGTCCCATTCACAGTAATGCCAATGACAACATACGGGAAGATAAAAATAAATGCCATGGAAATTTCTAGCTGAGATCCAGCTCCCCCCATCAGCCCTGTCCCCTGTGGTGACCATTTGCTCTTTATTACAAATGTCCTCTTGTTCCCTTGCCATTCCACATACCAAATTCTAAAATGCTGTTTGTTTACTTAGACAGTCATGCCTCTTACTCTGTAGCTGGCTTTGAAGTTGCCTTCCCTTTTATCCCTTGAATTCTTAAGTATAAACTGGAGGATCTGGGATTATGTACTGTGACTTTATTCTGACTGGGGGGAGGGCACTGATCCTGGAAACTCTATGCAAATTTCTTGTGAATGTTTGCCCACATAAACAGAGTTTATGTTTACTAAATAAGGGCACCAGTACAATAAAGTAACAAAGAATCAAATACACATATAATAAAAGTAACATAAAAATTACCAACAAATCCCAGCACAAGTTTTGATAATACAGCCACAAGAGAAATGATTTTTCATTTTTTCCTCAAAATGTTATCACAAGATTACTGCTATTAACATAGACATCCAAAATATATCATTATATTTAATTAATTTTACGTTTTATAATTATAATTCCAATTTTACAAAATGAAGTACTGCTTATGACTTTTTAATAATATATAAGTTAAAACTTTTTTAAAAAATTCAAAATAATTTTGCTCATAAACATTATCTCACCCAAGTGACTTCGTATTGTCGTACCTTGCTGGCCTCCTTCTTCCATTCTTTTGGACAATACTTATAAAGCTTTTGTTGCAATTCCATATACACATGTTCATTATCTGTATATTAAAAAAAGGAGACAAGACATTAAAGAAAAGATACATTTTTAAGACAATATTCAAAGATACAACTTGAAAAATACCTCAAGATTTGGGAATGCAGTTTAAATTTATACTACCAAGAAAACTCAAGATACTAAAAGATAAAAGGTTCTGTGGGCCAAACATTAATGAGATTATGAATTATTTTGCTTTTGCAATACAGAACTCATACTACTGATATATAATGTTGACACATTAGTTTCCAATTCCTACTTTTCTTCACTTTCTAGGATCATTATAACTTAGAGTCTAACTTCCAGCACTGTAAGAATTACTTAGCCTTAGAAAAACATGCATTTGTTTAGCTCACGACTACTCTTATAAGTTTAAAATAATGGCAGAAACACCATCTTAACTGCTGTGTATGAAATTAGGAAACATTGTTGAAAGCCCCTTTCTGCCTCCCACTTTGAAAAGAATAATCTTTAAGAATATTCATTCTGTATCCCCATCGCAAAACACAAGACAAAATGATACCTGTACTGCCTTTGGGATTAATACTGGGGGAAGAAAAGAACCTTATGAAAAGCAAGCATGAACGTCAAAGTGTTCCTTCAAAGGACTGATAGTCATAAGATGAACAGGAAATAAGGTTATGTAAAAATTATGTAAATTTGGGAACAAGCTAGATAAAAAACAGAAAAAAATTTCATTTTTCCTAAAGAGATCTTTTTTTAAAAAAGATGTATTTTTACAAGAAAATCCTTCAGCATTCTGACAGTTTTAAACCTTAGTTTTTAAAATGCCAAAATTTTCAGCACTCAGGAGGCTGAGGCAGGAGGATTGCCAAGAGTTCGAGACCAGCCTGGGCTACATAGTAATTTCAAGGCCATTCTAACTACACAGTGTGTTCCCTGTCTCAAAAATAAATAAATAAAAATAAAGGAAAAACAATTTATTTAAAAAATGATAAAATACAAATTCCTTTCCTTAACCATCACTAAAGGGCCATCGTCTTGAAATGTTCTGTACAAAATATTCACATTTGAAGGGCAATGCATCTTTTGACTATTCCAACAATAAACAAGCCTGACTGACACCTACCTGAACACTGGAGTTTGTCTGGGAAAAAGTCAGAACAAGAGTAAAGCTACTCTTTGGTTATAAGTGGAATATTTTTGTCATCTAATTTGAAGGAAAAGGTGACAAAAGGTCCCAGTGACCAAAAAAGGGGGGTGTGCTACCAGAATGCAGTTATCAAATTAGCTGACACTATCGCTTGTCTCCCATGTTCACTGATGAGACATGAAATGGACAAGCCTAGACAATGTTCCTGTCAAATCTGATCTGTGTCTGTGTTGAGTTCCCATAGGAAGCAGCAACATAACAAACAGAAGAGACACTGCTCGTCAGGGTAGCACATACACATTTTTTAACTAACATCGTATTTCTGACAGTGTGATCAGAGCTTTACAGCTAAAGATTTGGGGGATTCCAGACAGTTGAACGCATAGAGGCTGCTAGAGAACAGTGTGCCCAGAGAGGGCTCGGAAGCTCCACTCGCCTTCGCCCAAACCTCGCCTGCCCCATGCTTCTCCTTCCATCCATGTCCTTTGTAATGACATTTGCAACACACTGGTGACTTGAAGAAAGAAGTTATGAATAAAGGAAAAAGGAAGAGCTAATGAGTCCATGAAATTGATTAGAATTATAAGCGTTAGTATGAACTCATGCATAGGAGGAAAAAGATGTGCAGAAATATGTGATATCATCACCCAAACAATTAACATCATCACCAAAAAAGACAAATAGGTATCATGTGTCTCTTGATATTATACACTGAGAATGGCAAAACACCACTAATCTGGTATTTCTGCCAGAAATATGTAGAACTGGAATTAATCAAGAAGAAACAAAAAAGGAACCCAAATTGAAGGACGACCTTCCCAAAGTAACTTGACTATACTCTTCAAAAATGCCATGGTCATAAAAGTCAAAGATTAAGGAACTACACCAGAATAAAAAAGACCTGATTCATACAATTGACCGTAATTTGTGGTCCTACATTTTGTTTGTCTATAGTAACAGCTGGCAAAGTTAAAAGCCATTTAGTAGCATACCAGTGTTGATGTCCTGATTATGATTTTTACACTTTGGTTACACAAGAGAATACAGTGTTCTTATTTTTAGGAAATACACACTGAAGTATGTAAACAGGCAGGCAGAATAGAAGGGATAGACGGCAAAATGTTAGGCTTTGAAGAATCGGAGAGAAAGGCGTATGGGAAATCTTTGTAGTATTTTTAAAACAAATAAATTATTTTTCAAAAAGTTCAAAAATTGGGATAGCATTCAGATTCACGGTATTTAAAGGACATTAGAAAGAATATTAAAATACTTTTATCTATTATTTATTTGTTTTAAAATGTCAATGTTTGAAATATTTTAGAGATTATACCTTTTGCAGTTACTCAATTTACAATGACAATTTAAGGTTATCAATTTAAAAATATATGAGAATTTTTAGTGCAGTAAAACCACTATGTATACTAAAGAGTGGCTATCTGCCATTATACATTATGTCCACACCCACAGAACATAAACACCAGCTGTGAGCCCAGATGTACACTACAGACACCGGATGATGATAATGTGTCAATATCGATTATAACACACATGTATTTCTGTGTAGGACGCTGATGAGAAAGTGGTGTGTGTGAGTGCAGGGAGTGCATGGGAACTTTCTCTCTTTTTTTTTTTTTTTTTTTGGTACCTGGAATTGAACGCAAGGCTTTGCGTTTACCAGGCAGGCACTGCACTGCTGAGCTACATCCCTGGTCCCACTTTTTGAGGGGTCATGGGAACTTTACTTTCTGTGGGCCTAAAATTACTCTAAAAACTACAGCTCATAGGCCTGGGTATTTAGCTCAGTGGTTCCGGTGCCTGCCTCGCAAATGCAACAGTCTGAGTTTGATCCCCAGTACAAAAAAACAAAACAAAACAAACAAACAAACAAAAAACTACAGCTCATAAATAAAAAGTTCTTAAGCACACATCAATCCTGCAATGCTGGCAGAACAGTAATTTTTACTTGGCTTGTGAAAAAAACTGACAATAAGAGAAATTGAGTACTGCATCCAAAGCCACACTGCCTATTAGTGGGATAACCAGGTCATCTGATTCCTATTCCAATGTTCTTTTACCACTACCATCTCTTTTAAGGAGGACATTTTGAGACCTGAGGAAGCTATAAACTGGTTTTCTTGGACTGACCTGTTGAACAACAAAGATCAACAATCTGGTTGTGGTTGCTGTAAGCAGGATTAACTTTGAGTATAGACTAATAAAAGTTACTTAGAATCTATAGGGCTTCTGACTGCTCCTGGACTTGCCCTTGGAAGATGACTGATGTAAGCACTAATAGCATTTGTACTTTTATTGCTTTGAATACCATGGGAAGAAACTGAAGGGCAAATGGCTTATTCGCTAGGCCCTGATGTGTTCTGCAGCCTCTTCTAGAAAAAGCAACTGAAATAGCTCCCTTTTTAGACAGGGAAGCCTTGATTTATCGGGTTTCCACAACACTTTCCAACCTGCCAGATGTATGGTAGTGACCAGATTCTCCAGATATTGTCAACTTTTCAACATAAACCAATTCCAGCAAGAGAAAATAATCCCCACCCAAGTACAAAATATACTTACTTACATTTCACAAAAATCCTGACAAATGAGCAAATATATGAAAGTTTTTTTGGCATACAGAAGACTAAATTACAGAAATTTCAAAAATATGATTTGAAAGAAAAAAGCTCATAAAAAAGCAGCCATAGATAAGTTCTGAAAATTTAACTCTAAAGTTTTATGGGAGAGGAAAGCTTTTATGAATTCTTTCCATGGAAATGTCTTCACGTACAGAATCAAGAAGAAAATGACCCTATATTTTTAAGCCATTGAATCTGATTTACAGAGACAGAAAAGAGAAAAACAGAAAACAAGATTCAATTAATAGATCAGTGTTATACTGTGTTGTTAATAGCAAAAGATTTGAATAAAGAAAAGTTACTTTTTATCTTCAAATTATAACATAAAAATTACAAAATAAATTATAAAAACATCTAGGATATTTTTTCCTAGCTTCAGCTGTTCCCTGAATACAAAGAAACAAAATCATTTGGTTCATTAAAATATAAAAGAACAAACACATTAAAATCTACATTCCTAAAGAGAAATGAATTAAGTTCAAACTAATAAATACATGATCTAAAACCCTAAATTTTTAAAGAAATACATAGTATTTGCATTAAACATTATATACTAGACTAAAAATTAAGAGCACTTTATGTGTATTTTGACAATCACAGTTTTATAATATGCTGATTTAAGCTTATAAAACATCACTTCTTCAGAGACAGGTGGATAAATTCAATAAACATGGTACTAAGACTTACTTTGTATAACACTGAGTCCAAAGAGATGGCAATCTTTTAGCCTGAGCAGGTCACAAACCTGGACCAGCAACTGTTGACACAGAATTTTAACCTGTGGAGGAGAAAAAGGCACAATTTGAGATAACAAATTAAGTCTACATAGTGAGCCACAATCAGGCAATTTAAGGCACTGTAAATAGATGCTTTGAGAGAACAAGACGGCATTAGCAAAACCACTGCTGGCTTATGGAAATCACTTTAATCTGTGGCTGTGTTTCAATAATGATTATCATAATATCAATTTTTACAACATGGTAATAAAGTCCCAATATGATGTTGCACAACACTCATAAGTCTTATGACACACAAACAAGGCTCTCTGATGTGGATATGAAAAATGGGTACTTCAGAAGGTACCTGAAACTGCCCACTGTGATTACCAAAAGTATTCATTTGACAAGCACCTTTTCTTTTTAAACAATTTTTGTTTAAATTGACAAATAAAAAGTGTATATATGGCGGTTCTGCCACCTGCCTTGCAAGCAAGCACAAGGACACGAGTTCAATCCCCGGTACCACACACACACACAAAAAAAAGTGCATGTATTTACAATGTATAGCATGCTGTTTATATTATGTGACACATGTGCGAGCGCGTGCGCGCACACACACACACACACACACACATTATACAATGGTCAAACAATATATGTAATACCTCATACATATCAAATTTTTGTGGTAAAAACACTAAAAATCAAATTTTAGCAATTTAAAAGCACACACTATGAACTGTAGTCACTATACTGTACAATAGAGCTCTTGAACTTAGTCTTCCTATATATAACTGAAATTTTGTATCCTTTGACCAACATTTCCCCAACCCCTGTCCATTCCCAGGATCTGGTAACTGCAACTGCAACTCTGTTTCTATGAGTTACTTTTTAGAGGTTACACACATAAATGAGATTGGAGCATTAAATATTTGTCTGTGTCTGATTCATTTCACTTCATATAATATCCTTCAGGTTCATCCACACTGTTGCAAATGACAAGATTTCCATCTTTTCTTGGCTGAATAGAACTCTACTTTGTGTGTGTTACATCTTATCCATTCAACCACTGATGGTCACTTTAGGTTGATCCTATATCTTAACTATTATAAATATACGAACATGAGAGGGCAGATATCTCAGCATCATGATTTCATTTTATTTGGACATGTACCCAAGAAGAGGGATAGCTGGATCATATGATAATTCTATATTTACATTTTTTGAGGGAGCTCATACTGTATTTCAAAATGGCTACAATAATTTATATTCCCACCAAACCATTAAGTGTCCACTTTTCTCCTCATTTTCAGCAATACTTACTAATCCTTTCCTTTTTGATAACAGCCATTCTAACTGGTATGAGAATATATATCACTGTGGTTTTAATATGTATTTCCTTCTTGTTTGGTAATGCTATATATTTTTTCATATACTTACTGGCCATTTGTATGTCTTCTTTTGAGAAATGTCTATTCAGGGCAATTGTTTTTTCAAGAAAAATTTTCTTCTCAGGGGTCTAAGTAAAATATTCACATACTGCAGAATGAGTAACTGCCTAGTTTTTACTTAATCAATCACTGTTATCTAATATCTTTTTTTCCTTTTGAGTCCTAGTATAATTCACTCATAAAACCATGTTAACTTGGAACTCAAGATTATTCTGCATAATAAAGACAATTTGATGCTTTCCTAAGTGTTAATGAAGAGCTAATGAATTCAAGTGATTCTTGAATTCAGAATCACTGAAGTTTACTAGAGTTAGAACTGATTTTAAGAGACCACTCAGATCAATTTCATTTATTGAAATATAAAATATAACCCAGCTTAAAAATCATTTAGTTAGTATTGGCAAAGGCAACAACTCACACCATATCTGTGTATTAAAATATTTATATATATGTATATAAAATATGTGCAATATGATTTATAATTTCACCTACATGTTATTTCTCCTCTCATATATTAGCTTTCTAGTCTTTGCTTTAATGATGATGCCAATTATAGTTCAAATTATTATAAATTTTAAATTGGTTAACTTTGAATTAATTATGTTTATACCTTAACATAGAACCTCAATTAAAAAAAATATAAAACCATGCAATTCAGGACTAATAGTAATTCAAGGCATAGTGAGAAAGACAGGTTGACCATTCTTTTCCATATTCATTACCAACTGGCAACCAACCTGAAGTACCTCACCCACTGGAAAGACAGACATACACAGTTGCTTAAGCAGCACTAGGGACTCAAAGAAGCAAAGACAGTGTCTTATTTTATATCCCGGAGATATAGTATGCACTTAGTAAATGTCTGGTAACTGATTCTATGTGGGTTCCTCCATACCTTCTTTCTATTCCATGACTATAAACATCTCCCTAACTTGCTGAGGAAACATTCTATAAATTTCCATTTAGCAACTTAGGAAAAATATGGCCATGGAATCCCACCAACACCACTGGGAGAGCACACTTGTTCATGAGATGTACTACCTTGATTCAACTCACTTGAGATCTCTTGATTTGTTATAAAAAAAATTCTATGTTATTCCCAACATTCACTAAAAAGACTTTGGATTTTGAACTCCATGTTACTATAATTCTAGCTTATTAATAAATAAACAGAATGATAGAAAACAGGTAAAGGTGTCACATGTCATAGACAAGTCTTAAGTTGAACTAAATACTACAAATTTGAGACTTAAAATGTCATATTATTCTAGAGTACTTTTAATCCTGAGTTTTGACTGTATTCCTTAGTTTGACCCACTTGGACACAAAGCAAACAGGAGAAAATGTAACATCAGCTAAAACTCCAAGCCACAAACTAATTGTGTATAAAACAAACTTGTAACTTTGTGTGACTCTTGACCAAATAATGTTGTACATTTCTTCCATGCAGCCTATATAATTATTAAAAACTATAATTGTATAAAACAAACTTGTAACTTTGTGTGACTCTTGACCAAATAATGTTGTACATTTCTTCCATGCAGCCTATATAATTATTATTGTTCCGCTAGTTTAAATCAAGTATTTGGAGCCTACTGATAAAGCTCTTTAACAACCACCAAGTAAGTACAGTGTTCTTCTTTAAAAACTATAATTAAATAAGGATGTGGCTTTAAAGTCTTTCCTGCTGAGAGAACAAGCTTGAACTTTCTGTATTTGCATAGCATGAGTCTTTAAAGCTACATTTTAACTGATTGTGAAATTTCTCCACTTCTTTAATCTTCAGAAGCAATGGGAAATTTAAACAATGCTACACAGTATGAAGTATTAACAGTAAGAGTTAAAGCTTTATCTAAAAATGCACTCTGTGGAACTTTAAAACATTAAGTCCTAAAAGTGTCGATGCTTATTATTGAGCAAGAATGTTTGAAACATTTTCTAGAAAAAAAATGAATTGTTCTCTCTAGTCTTAGTGAAGATGTATAATTGGTAATAATTTCTTTCACTCAAAATTTTATGGTTCTTTTACTTACCATGACTTTATCTCCAAATTTTACAAATGTCCATATTTAATATTTGCCTGTCAAATAATGTCATTTAAAATAGCCCCTCTGGGTAACCTCATAGAGATTTCAAAATGACCACAACACTAAATCCATTACACAGGCAGAAAGGCAACATTTTATCAATTATACTTATCAGGGAACAAATTTCCTCTGTTTAAAAAAAATGTATAAATGATGAAAACAGATTGTGGGTGAAACAGTTTTTGCTATAATTTGTTACACTAAACTCTGCAAATACCAGTTGCCATTTGTGAATAAAAAGATAATACTTTGTAGAAAGAGTGACTGGTAGCCTTGACTTATTTTTCTAGCTGTGGAAAGCCTCCACCCGACTGTCCCTCCTTAGGTCCAAGTGCTTGCTGGAGAGGAGCTTAGGCATGGCATAAAGAGTCTACATACCCAAGAATGAGAAGTGGTATAGACCTATGTGGGGTCCAGACTCTTGGCTTCAGTGACAGAGCATGCAAATGGAAGGAGCAAACAGCTCAAAGAAACACAATGAAGAAAAACGCTATTCTATGAGGGCCTCACTGAGCAATCCCATGCATCAGGCACGACCCTGTGCTCTACAGCTAACACCTTAAATCCTTGCATTGTTCCTGTGAGAAGCATAATATTAGCCTCACTTCAAAGATAAGGAAACCAAGCCAAACCCTAAAAAACATATCCCAAACTGCAAAGTAAGTTGTGGCACGGGAATTGCAACCCAGGTCCTGGTGACTCTAAAACCCACCTTATTCATATATAGGGCTTCATGCATGGTTCATGATCATAGTTCTGACTACCTTAGAGAAGTTATTACATTAATTTCACAAAAGGGGAGACTTGAAGTATAAAATTTCTGCTTATGAGTTAAAATAACGGTCAAGTAACCCACATCCAAAATACTTGGGAACAGAAGTATTTCAGATTTCAAAGATTTTTAGATTTTGAAAAATTTGCATACACTTTACCGTTGAGCGTGCCTAATCCAAATCTACAGACTTTCAGATTCTGGACTTTTGGATAGGGATGCTCAATCTGTAATAACATCTACTATCTGTGTGCCAGAAATTATGCTCGGTGCTAACTCTGAATTCTCAATATCATCTTGTACCTGAGGCATTATTCTTACTCTACAGGTAAGGATGCTGAGGTAGGTTTAATGAACTTTATAAAAGCCATTCAGTCATGAGATTTGATTCATTCTGTATTTTTAAAGTATGTCAAAATCTTTTCATGAAGGCAGAAAGAAAAGCAATACAAATTGAGTACCTAATCAACACCAGGTTCTGGGAAAGTTGTTTTATAAGTGAAAAACACAGCAAGCTTAAGCAACTTGTCCAAAGTTCACAAATCTAGTATACAGTTAAAATATGAACAATCTTAGAATATTTCTTAACAATGGTGTTGTTATATTTTTCCTAATAACAACCACTTACTTTGTGCTTTTTATGCATCACATACTGTTTGAAGGGCTTAGCCACTGACAGCGTCAAAAGCCCAATCCAGTAAATAGAATTCTAAATAATGAAAGAATCTAGATGGTGCTGCGATATAGGTCTGTGACCGACTGGCTTAAGGTTTTACAGTATCCACAGGCCCTGTTTAGTAATCTTATTAAATGCAGATTCCTATGTCCTATCCTAGACTTCCTATGTCATCATTTTCAAGGAGAAAAGCTCAGTAGTTTGAATATCTAGCAAGCTCTCCCCAAGTAACTGTATGTATATTCAAGTTTCAAAACCAGATATATGGGAATAAGTGAAGTGGTTACTTTCTAGTCTGTTCTTTAATAGATTCTAGTATAACTCTTTGGCAATTATAGTCACCTCTTATTCTTCACTAAGTCATATAAGTCTCCACTAAACTGTAGTTAATCAGGTTTTTGTTCTATAGCTTGTTTGTACGTGTGTACAGACACATACATGTATTTCACTGGGTAAAAAGAAATAGAAGGGAGAAAGTTTATTAAATGCTTATGCTATTATGTCCTCATTTATGTACATTTTTAAAATTTAAAGAATATCTTTAATGTTAACTGTATAAAATAACAGCATATTCATGTATACATAATTATATTTTCAAAGTATTTTGCGCCAGTGCCTATATTGAAATGTTACCAATTTTTATTAATGAGATTTTTAAAAATGCTGTAAAAATAATAGCTTATCACTTCACACATCCAAAAACAAGAACCTTAAGTAGGAATGTAACTCATTACTAGACATTCTGCCCAACAATTGATAAAATCCACTCAACAAGCAGAGTAGATAATCAGGAAATCAGATAATCCCCACGGGCAGACACAAGTTTACATGAGATAATCAAGAAACCGTACTGATTGTTAGAATAAAACTAATATGGTTATAAGCAGAACATTTTTTCTATCTAAACTGTTAAATGATGCTATTTAAATGTCATATAAGCTCATAAAACATTTAGGAAAAAATGCTTTTATCTGGCAACTGAATTAAAAATATAGTAGTGTATAGAAGGGAGGAAAAACTATTTAAAGACATTCCTCTGAGGCAAATTTTCCCTTTGCATTCCATTAGAATACAATTAAGTGGAAAAGAAGAATATACAGTTAATAGTAGGGAGAGACACTGAAAATTGCTAGGTATGATACTTATAATAAAAAATTACTTAGCACTACCTACTAAGGGTTACTACTGGTAACCCTGTATTTCACATGTCCAATTGGGAATAGAAACAGAAATGTGTGCATATATATATTTTTTTCAGTTTTACTCATAATGGTCTAAAACTTAAAATACTCAAGTCTATAAGCAATAGATGGATAATTAAATTAGGTGTGTTAATACCATAGAATATTAAACACTAATGAAAAGAAAATTTACTGTCATGTGCAGTAGCATGGATGAACTTCATAAGCCAAATGTTGAGGGAAAGGAGCCAAATGCGAAGAGAACATATTACATAATTTCAGTCACATGCAAGTCAGAAACAAGTAAAATTACTTTCTTTTGATAGGAGAGTTGTGACTCTGGGCAAAGGCTACTGAATAGGGGTGCTGAAAATTTGTATCTCAAGTTGGGTCAATGATTACCTGGGTATACACACCAGCGAAAATGTATTAAGTTATGCACTTAAGACTCCTATATACTTGGTAGTATGTAAATTATGAGTTATTTTTTAAAGTCAAAAAAGGATCATGTTCTTCAATGTCCTAGTTAATTTAACAAGTTGTCTCTGACTCATGAATCATCAGTAAAAACTCCATGCTCAAAAGTGCTGAAATTGGTTAGATTTCAGCTATTATTAAAAAACCAAGGTACGTATTAAAAGCTAGCAATTACTGCCATTTCCGTGTGTGGATGATAACTATAAGCATTTAAAACATAAACTTAGGCACCAATAAAAATTATATTCATATAAAAAGCTCAAAATAGCAAGTACTTGTTTTTAATTTGGTAATCAAAATTCTCTAATTTTACCCCGGGCAAGACAATGTTGAAGGCAATCGCACTTAACCCATTGAACTATGTTTATGCTGGTATTACTGCTGTCGATTCTGTAAGGATTTTGGCTGAAAGCAATATTATCTTGAAAGTGATCACTGAAGGAAATGCACTATTTAGATGTCTCTAAAATGGGCATACTCACATTTATGATGATATTCAGAGACTCATCATTGGGAAGGAAAATACACACACTCCGGCGGTCTTGCATGACTCTGTTGTTATGGAAGTTCAATTTGTTCATTGTGTTGTGGGCTCACTAATGGTCAGGGCTGGGCTCTGAGTCCTCAGCAGCTGCTCAGGTTCCCAGCACTCCAATGCCAAATTCTTCTCATCACACACCCAACAAGAGAAGCATCCTGCTGTTTTAACTATGTAGGTTTCATAGCTGTTAAAAAAAAAAAAAAAGACCAAAGGCAGAACTATGAATAAAATGATGAGATTATTAAGGACAGAGACAGGGAAGTGAGCAGAGTCCACCTACTTTTATGGGTACAAAGACAAGATGTTTCAAGCCAAAGCTGCCTACTTCAATATATTGGGACTTGCTGAAATGCATTCTGTAAGACAACCGTCTTAGAATTTGCATTTACAGTTATGAACTAAACTTAAAGCCAGGGACAGCTTCACATATTCCAAGGCAGTTCAAGCTCATGGAAATAAGAGATCCTGCTTTTGAGGAGTCTCCGGTTTTACTGCGGAGATAACTAAGGGCTCTGAAATTTTAAAAAATGATAAGAACAGCAGCAACAACAAAATTCTCTCTCTTCCATTACCACAAAACTCAAATAAATGTCTTGGCTCTTACATTATTCATTCTTTAGCTACTATCGTCTGGCTTCCACTTCCTCTGCTTTACCACTTTGCTCTGTAAAGGAAGCTAGTAATCTCTGACCATCAGTGGTGTCCATAGGAATGACTCTGATCAATTTCTATACAGTATTTTCCATGGTTATTAATCCTTCCTTTCAACTTTCTTCTAGGTTTTATGGTGCTGGTCTTTCCTGATTCTCTAACCTGATAATGCAAACTTGATTTTTCTGTTTATTACTTCAGTAACCACTTAATAAAAGAATAATGAATTTTTGATATATCATATTGAATCAGCTTCCCCAACAGTTTTATTTTTCAAATTTATCTTAGGTTTTGAAATACAGAATTTTATTTGCAAATAATGGAAAATTTATTTCCAACTTTCGACAGTCACACTTTCATTTCTCTTTTATGTCTCAGTGTGTTGATGAGACCCTGTAGAATAATTTTGAAGAAGTGGCAAAGTTTCCTAATTTCAATGAACTATAATTAATAGAAACTATTCAAGCAAGGTAATTTACCACTAGTTGTCTCTAAAATCATAGGTATGTGTTTTATTCATTTCTGGCTATATTTGTAGGATGCAAAAGAGAAATGCTAGGAACATACATCCATTTCACTAGGCAGACAGGATATAGTTTTCACAGAAGAGCTATGAATCAAAGCACAAGTGAGATAGAATCTTGTTCTATTTGCTTCTCAAAGTTCAATTTTCATTGTGAACAATGGAAGAGGATATATTCTTAGCACAAGGAATAAACATAATACAGCGTTTCTTTAAATTTACAAATAAAGTACCATCTACAAGAGAACTACTTAAAACTAAATAAAAGCAAATGTTAATCTTTTATATGGTATTTCCCTAACAGAAAGGTACCCAAGAGTCCATTCAGGAGAAGTCGATTTATCTTACATGATATGAGCAATTGTTGCACCTGAGGTCACAGCCAGCATACATCACCTCATGGAGGTCAGTGCTACACTTTTGTTCAGTTTGGTGGTCAATCCACATGTTCTAGGTGCATAAACTGCACCCTAAATTGAATCACTCACTTAGAAAATGACAGTCCAACAGCACCAAAGTGCCAGTTGGAGAACTACTGTTGGATGAATCAGAATCACTTGGGTCTTTCTAAAAAATGCAGAATCCTGGGCACAATGACAGTTCTACTCAGGGCCTGGTACTTCTCATGTGCAGCCACACATAGAAACTACTGTGTTATGGTTAGTGGAAGATACTGAGCAGAGTGCTGGGTACAACAACTTTAGGGTACACATTGAGAACCACGATGGAGACAAGAACTGGGCATAAACTTTTCTGAGTGGTACTGCATCATGACTATAATGAAAAACAATGTCTCAACATTTCAAAGGCATACATCCCTAAAACCAATCAATTTTGTACTGAGAATATTCTCCTAAAAAATGGTGGCCTAGGAATGAGTAAGTTTGCAAAGTACTGCACCATACTTATCCCCTTTCTTAGACATTCAAAAAGAAATAAAAAGCTCTGAGAACTCCTGCAGGCAAATTATTACACTGAACTCAGTACTTTTCAAACTTGAGAATGGAATACTTTTCCCCCACAACATATCTATTAAGGTTCTGTAGGAAATACTCATAGCCATAATTTGAGAAACACAGTTCCATAATGACTTCCTTGTCAGTTATGTTTTCCATGGCAAAACTTTTCCATGTATATTGGTATATTTTAATACACAGGCCTCCTTCACATAAAATCTCTTGAGGAAGAAACTATAAGCTCCAATTAAATGTACCTTATTTAAATCAAACTCCTAAATCATATTAATTCCAATATAATTCTTATTTAATTCTGTGCTTCAAATTGAGTTAGCCCTATACTTTTCCATTTCTAATTAACCCAATTAGAGTATTTTTACTGATCTGCTTTTTTGAATTTAAATGAGAAACTAGGAAAAAATATCATCTGTGGTTTGTTTCAAGAGCTTCATTAAAATAATTTGGAAATTTCATTTGGGTACAATTTTTATTTTATGATTCAAATATGTAGTACAAATGATAACTGAAAGAGGATTATTGAAATGAATTTCCTAAAAGCAGAGTTTAGAAGAAGCAGTGCTGCTTCACTACTGCTTTTTCTGCTTAGCGGGTGGCAAACTAGAAAAGCCCCAAAATAACATAGCATTAGTTTTTAACTTTACCCAAAACAGCATTAAAGCTAAATAAAAGGTTCCACTGAAACAGCAAAATAATCGTATCTCTAACCACACAAATGTCCAATTTAATCTTAAATCAGGGAGTCCTGGGGAAAAGAAATGGACTAAATTTATATTGATTTGAATCGTAGAATTAGCCTCTCAATCATTGGCTACTTGTTCTATGTCCTTAAATTAAGTCCCAATCCAGCCCCAGGAGGACACGTTTCTGATTTCAGAGCAACCCTTTTCTTTTTTTTCCCCCATTAAGTTTGTTGGTACATTTTAGGAATACATTATGATCACATTCAACATTGGAAATTTGTACCTGTACATGATAAATCTTGGTTCTTGTTTTTCACCATTCCCTTCCCTCCTGTCCACCCCTATTTACAAAAATTTTGCTTCTTTTTTTTCCTTTTCTCATATTTTTTTCTTTCCCTTCTTTCCTTTCCCCCATCCCCCTCTACTTTCCATTCCTCATTGGTCCTTTTCTTCCTATTTGATATCATCTATTACACATTTTGGTCTTCATTTATACTTCAGTTTCTCACAACAGAGAAACTATGCAGTATTTACATGTGTGTCCTATTAATTTCACTTCAGAGTATGGCCTTCTATTCAACAATTGTATTATCCATGGATAAAGCATGTAATAGTAATGCATTTAAAGGCAATAACAGATCAGCCAACAATGTGATCAAGCCCCACCCTGTCATCTTTATAAACATCCAACTTACAAAGAAAAATATACTCCCCTTTGAATTTTCACCCACATAACATACTCTCATTTTGGATGGAAGGCAAAAGAGGATTCTCAATTCTGGGATTATCTCCCTAAAAAGAGGGTAAGTTATTATTGCTAAGATTATGGTAAGGCAAGCATAATTAGGTTGGCACATATCAACAGTCAGTATGATACCTTTATTACCTAACAAAAACAAGGCAAAAAATATTGGAAAACTGGATTGTAGAGAGCCCTATCATCTAACTTAATCATTACACATTTATAAGCTTACATTATATATACAGTACTATAATACTTATTTGCTGAAAAGCATCACTGGTAAGAAATTTGGTATTGTGCACACACAGTGATTGGCAACTCTCACATCAAACTCAAGGACAGATATAAAGGATAACAGCATTAAATGTATGAATTCTGTACCACAACATTGTGGTAAAGATCATTTTGGGATAAATAGTACATTATTTTTAATGTATGGTGTCCTGTCATAAATGATGAAAATATCTTGGTAAAATGATTTTCACTTGCAGTTGTTCATTATATATTCATTAGTATGAAATACATATATTAAATAGTATCTGTTGGCTGTCTTACTACACATCCCTGGTCAATGGAGATTCTGCGGTAGGCTTTCTTAGTGTTGAGATTACCGTCATTTTGAATCAAATATTGTTTAAGTCGGGGGCTGTCCTGTGCATTGTAGGAGGGCCAGTAGCAACCCTGGCCTCGACCCGCTAAATACCAAGAGGCCCTCTCTTGGCAGAATGACAACCCATGACATCCACAGATATTGCCAAAAGGTGCTATGGGGGAAGATTACTTAGTTGAGCAATCAATTGTTCTATAGACTCTATACAGGCTACTTTTTAATCATCCAGCTGTTCTTTTTAAAAATTTTAATAATACAACTTTTATTAAACACATATTTTCTAACTAAAAATAAGCAACTGAGTTCCAAACACAGAAATCTGATCTGAACCTTGTAGTCACACTTTTAGCTTCTTGAATGTGTGGCCTCTGGCTTTGGAATAGCTTTGAAGTCTGGGCTTCTCAAAATTGAACTGTAGTACAGTGCATTGAAAGCTCCTCACAGAAGTACACTTCCATTGTAGGTAAGCCCTTGCTCCTGGAGAGTCCTATATTTTGATATTAGTACAGTGGTACCTTGGTTTACAAACTTAAGTTGTTTTACGAATTTTGGGTAGGTGGATGTGTTTGAATTGTAGGGGAGATAGCCATGGTTGTGTCTGACACCCAAAGCAGAGTTTGTGAACAAAAGCAAAATTCTGCTAAACATTTTTGTTTGCAAACAGAAGTGTTTGTGAATCAAGGTATTACTGTAACTGAAAATATAAAAAGTGATCTGGAAACTATTGATACCTGATTTTCAATTTGCCCGTATCTCTGTATTATGAAGATTTCTCTTTAAACATGTAAAGAAAGGGTAGTTTGCTTGAAAGAGCTATTTGGTAAACATTTTTATCACTTAATTTGAGGAATATGAACACTTTCTGCTTCGTGGTCTGATTTTGCAGTTACTTTTCTACCTAAGAATTGATAACTACCAACTATCTGAAACCAAATGCTTAAAAAAGAACATCAGGTTCTTTGTTGTTCTTTCCCAACTTTCAACTCAGTGTGCTAGTGGAT